AGCTGATGAGGAGCCAGCGAGTGCAATATTCAATTGAGGTTTCTGCTCCGCCAGGATGAGATTGAACCTGATCATGACCAGATCCGGGTGGTACTTTCGCTTTGATACTCAGGCCATGGGCTGCTCAATCAAACAGCAGCTACTAATCCCCTTAGGATCAGTTATCCGTACCGCTGACCAACAGCTCCTGCGCGTTCGTTGCCATCGATCCCCTTGCGCCGAACGTTACCTCGTCGACGCCGTTCACTCTACACGAACGACCTTTACTACGAGCTGCGAATTGAATACTGATAGAATCTCCTCGAATAGCTGGATCCACGTAGCGTGCGCGTCGCTGAAAGTCGTTCGACCGGCCTGGCCCTGGCGCCCGACGAGCTCCCGATTCTCCCGATTCCAATACCTTTCTACAATTGATCAAAGTGATACGGCATGGGTTCAGATGGTGTGAGAAATCAAACTTGACAGAGTTAGAGCTTTGGGCTGTAGCCTTGGGTTGTTTAAAGACGGCGGTCTTGTCGGAGCAATTCTTCCAAGCTATAGATTATCGACAATAATCGCGGAGCCGAAAGACCCCGAACATTTACTCGTAAGCTACGAGACGAGCTGTGATATTTATACATAGTTCTCGTTCATTTCTTGCACGAGAACGAGGTAGAAAGAGAATGAGACCAGCAGTGTTAGCCGTGTGAGTGGTTGTAGACCGTGGACAACATTGCTTGTTGACGTGCCTCGACACGTACAGCAACAACAGTAACAGGCACGATGGATATGCGCAATGGCTCTCTGTTGACGGCACTAGATGGATTGTAATTTCAGCGTAGAGAACGAGTGATTGGGTAGGTACTAATTGCTGTCGCTTTGTTTAGTCTATGATCATTACTACCTATGTAGTACTCTGATAATGGACCACGTCCCATTGGCCTAGATACGAGCCTCGAGGAGAAGAATGCGAACGAATTGCATGGAATCAGGTACCGCGAGAATGCGAAGAGAGGAAACAATCAAGCTAGACACCCACGTACAATTCCCCTTTCCATGAATAGACGGGCAGCTGAAGTCGTGAAGTGTTTGGGACGTGGCCAAGTGATGGCTTGGAGGGTATCCCTGCAGTTCGGCAGCGAGATCCGGAAGTAGCATGTGATGGTGGGATGTGTCTCTAGCCAATTTCGACGAGAAGGATTTCCTGCATCCTGCATCTGGGTTTGAGAAATATCCCTTTCTCAATCCGACAAGAACACATGTCAATCAGCGGAGAGTAAGCGATTGCACAATGGCTGCCCCCAAGGTCCTTATCATGATGGCCGACTACGGTCACGAGCCCACCGGTACGCCCATCGCTTCCCCATGGGAGGTTATAACAGCAGCCAGCTAATGAGGAGCAACCGGGGGAACAAACAGAGGCCACCGTGCCCTATACCGCATTCAAGGACGCCGGCTTCGACGTGCAGTTTGCCACCGAGAATGGTAATGCGCCTGCGTGCGATAAGTTGCTGCTCGAGGGTCTGAGCCAGAAGATATTGGTAAGACGCGACTCTCACAGGCAGACGGCCTGAACGCCATCTTGCGCCGGCAAGCTTGGTTGTTTCTTTTGTGTTCTCGACCACGGATCTGTAACATATCCCATCATCTTGGCATCACCTGGCTGACTTGGAGGGCATCATGCCACATGTAGGGCGCTAAGGGATCAGTCCTGCAGGACTACGCCAAGATGGTGGCCTCCGAGGAGTGCAAGCAGCCTCTCTCGTGGAAGTCCCCCGGCTTCAGCCTGGACCCCTTCTCGCTCGTCTTTCTGCCCGGCGGGCACGACAAGGCGGTGGTGCAGATCATGGACTCGGCGGCCGTGCACTCGCTGCTGCTCGACTACTTCCCCAAGACGCGCAAGCAGCAGCCCGACGGCAGTGCTGCTACCAAGGCCGTCGGCGCCATCTGCCACGGGGTGCTCGTGCTGGCCAACGCGAGGGACGCACAGGGCCACAGCGTGCTGCGCGAGTGCACGACGGCGACGCTGCCTGCGCGCTTCGAGCAGGTGGCATACTGGGGTACGAGGGTGTTCTTGGGGGACTACTACAAGACGTACGGGGCTGGGAGCGAGGACGTCGAGGTCTCTGTGGGTGATGCCTTTTTTAGATTTCCATTCTCTCTCCTCGCGGGGCCGGGATGGCTCCCTGGGTTCCATGAGAAGCTGCTGGATGTGCCAGAGAAGACTAACTGTTATGCAGGTGAAGAAGGTTCTGGCCGACCCGGAGAAGCAGTACAAGTGCAGTCTCGGACTATCTCCGTGAGTGTTTCCGCTACCAATGACTATCCCATCTTGTTTTTTTTGTTTCTAACGAGTGTTGCCCGTCTTTCAATGGTTAGTTTTGTCGTTGAAGACGAAGCCCACAACTACATCAGCGCTCGGTTCCCCGGCGACACAGAAAAGATGGCACAGCGGATGGTTGAGGTGGTCAAGAGCTTCGCCTAAGGTGACGTATCGATTTCACAGCTGGGTAATGGGGAGGTTGGTGTCACCCACACCTCCGATACGGGGTGACAGGTCGGATGGACATGATATCGCATGAGTTTGGTGTTGCTGCATGCCGCACCCCAGATAATCGAGGCTGGACTGCATGAACAGTGAGATGGATGGTGCTCACTTGACTAGATGTGATCGAACCAACAGACGCAGAGATAATTCATGCCCAAGGCTCCTAGTTCTTACCTATTCGGATGTATTGTGCAGATGTTATACCACAAAGCAGTTGAGTATTCGATTCAGTTGTAAAACAATACGAAGAGTTCAAGTTGGCGAATGCGCTGGGCCCCTGTAGCCCAGTGCTTAGCTGCTCGAATGGCACTGGAGATCAGCGCCGTTTAGGGGTCTAGAAGGCCCAGCTGAGCACGCCTGAGCCATGGACCCATTGAGTTGAGAAGTGCCCGCTCATCTTCTCCTCCTCCTCCTCAAAATTGTGTGTCGTCATTCTCGCCATGACCCTTGATCTATCCAGCCTTCGTATCTATGATTCTGCACGTCCATACGGATGCTGAACCGCCTGCCAGACCCTCCCCTCAGTTCCAAACTGGGCCGCCTGCTTTCTGGACCACTCCACCATCTGCTCCCTCATGCTCAGGTTGGGAAACAGTCAGACTTACCATCATGCATGCAAGATTCCCGCCGTACAATCAATCACCTGTCACAAGAAACCGCCCCCAAGGGTCCTCCTGCGTCATAGCTGACGGGAGGCGTGCTCACACCGTGTCTGCGGCGCGACGCGACGCGTTATAATATTGGCAAACATAGCGATATCAAAGATGATCCTATCCCTCGTGTTTCTGGTCAAGTGAGGCTTACATCTTACTGTTGATCATATGCGCCGCCACCAATGGAAGCCAGGCGACCATGATTCATGTTGGCAAGCCAAGGAAAGAGGGGGGCTAATGTCACTATTCTGACCTCAAATCCCATCCATCGATGCCTGCTGCGTATGGTCATCCTATGACTCGGTTGGCCACCTCATCGCGGGGACTGCTGCCAATAGGACACATCCCTTGGCTTCCTTGCAAGTAGCAAGGGCTGCCGTCGCTGCAGGATCTCCCGAATGAGGTAGCGAATCGATGCTTCCAGAAATGCCCGCCTGCAGTTCGTGGTTTGATTGGGAGAAATCGCTGTCTTGAGGCCGGCACCGCACTGCGTGTGAGTCAATCACCTGGCCTGGGCAGGGAGAAGGGGCAACAGCTGCTGGCTACAAGGATAGCATGAAGGCAATGACAAGGAAATTGGCCGACGAAAGAGGTGCTCTGCATGGTGAGCGGGCATGATGCGAGCTGCATACGGGCCTGGCGACGGAGATTGACCTGGACGGATGCAAATTACAGACGGCAGACTTGGCCTCTGCAATTATGTGCGACCTCAAAACGGCCAGCAAAGAGGCCAAGTACTGCTATATATTGCGTTTGTGGCCATAAGAGGGGCTTAAAAAAGCAAGACGCAGACACGGTAAATGCCTCGAACAGCTTGAGGTCAAGGTCCATCGGGAACAAGCTGCAAACTTACCATCAATTGAAGAGGGAGCTGCAAGATGTCCGCTCGCATAGACACCCGAACCATCTGCCCGCCTTGTTCGTCTACTTGCCCGCCCACTCGATGGAACCTCCGGTTTGTAGGCCGTGGCGGTGTGTGTTGTCATCGCAAGCTGCCTCTCGTCCCAAAAACCCCCTTTTCCCCTGCTCTTCTCTTGGCTCAGCTAAGCGTCACGCCCCTTTTGCAAGCGAGAGACGGCTCCTTGCAGGCGGTGGGACTTGTGACACGCCTCCTCCTGCAAGAGAGCTGCAAAGGAGTTTTAATGGCTGCTAATATTCATGCTGCGGGCCATCTGCAAAATGGATGTAGGTACCTGGGCCTCTACGCGCGATGAATGGACGAGATTGGATGCAACATAAGACGACAGACTGACATACGCACACGTTCATACACAGAAAATACCGGGCAACTGCATTACGTGTGGCGGAGGAGAGCCAGAGGACGCACAAAAACAAACAAACCCTCTCATTTGTGATTTGCCATGCAGGTCATGCAGGCCAAATCCACATCCAGCATCGGTTTCAGCCGCAGAAAAGTCCCCGCTGCCCGTCGCGTCCGTCGCGTGTCCCCAGAGAAGAAGCCAGAGATGACTAGAGGCTTGGACGGGAAGCATCCTTGATCCTGGCAGCCGAGTATCTAAACCCCTTGGTCCCCCGAATTCGAATTGCGGTGGGACTGGTGAACAACGCAGAACTCGGGGAGCTCCACAGCCAGGACGGACGATACTTCAACAATTAATCGATTTTCTGTTCGTTTCAGTTCAGTTCAATCCATTCACTCATTCAACCGTCCACCCATTCCCGCGTCTTGACCGACTCACCTGTCCCTAGCGGGAGAAGAGCCATCACCACCGGCCGTGCCACTGCCCCTTCGCTCCCCCAATATCCACCTGGCAGAAGAGAAGGGAAATCTGGCGACGCAGCGAGAGAGGGACCGCACCATGGAAACAGTACAAATCGACCCCCGAGGGGACGTCGCCCTCCAGGTTCCCTGCCCACCCCCATACTCCCTCGTCCTCGTGGTCCCAGCCGCGCCGTCCCCCGGCCAGTCCCAGGGCGAGGTGCACACGACCATCAACGAGGGCGCGAGGGACACGCGGGACCTCGTCGTCTCCTCCAAGGTCCTCTCCGTCGCCTCGCCCGTCTTCAAGGCCATGTTCTGCGGCGACTTCTTCGAGGGCGCCCGCCTCGCCGCCAGACACGAACCCTCGCCGCCGTTCCAGCTGCCCCTCCCGGACGACGACGGCGACGCCATGCTCCTCCTCTGCAAGCTGCTGCACTTCGCCACCGACGACGTCCCCGACCTGCCCGGGCTCGACCTGCTGGCCAAGCTGGGCGAGGTGTGCGACAAGTACCAGTGCACGACGGTGCTGAGGCACTGCGGCAACTGCTGGGCGCGGAACTGGCTGCGCGAGTTCGAGACGGAGGCGCCCGGGCTGGAGGACCTGTGCTACCTGTTCCTGTTCACGTACATTGCGGATCTGGCCGCTGAGTTTGCCGAGGTGGCGTGGATGCTTCTTCTGCAGCATCGGGGGCCGTTGACTGGTGCCGAGTCGCAGATTGGCATTCTGTTAGAGCATCCGCTGCTCAGCCAGGGACTCCTTGGTAAGTACTATATCTCTATTCATTTCATGATCTTCAAGAGATGAGATTATCACTATATATCTATGTGTCTATGCTAACAAAAACCCAGAACGCCTCGAGTCAAAACGGCTCCAGCTCTGCAACGCCTTCCACATGGCCCTCATGTCGCCCATGACCAGCTGGAACTGGGGGAGCCTCATGCAGGGCTGCCTCCGCGCGGCCACCACCCTCGCGCGGTACAACCAGGCCCTGCGCGACGCCGGCCTCCTCCCGTACGACCTCTCGTTTTCTAATCATAGCTTCGCCGAGCTGCTCGACGGCGTCGACCGCCTGGGCTACATCGCCGTGCCGCCGTGCCCCATCAACAAGCGCTCGTGCGGCTTCTGCCACCAGGACAGCCAGGACAACCTCGTCAACGCGCTGCTGTCGGCGGCGCACTCGATACGCAGGTGCAAGCCGTGGTTCAGCTGCCTCGACTGCTGCAGGGCGACGACGCGCGGCAAGGCGGGGCGCGAGGGCGAGAGGCGGTGTCGGATCAAGCACAAGGACGACCTTGAGATCAAGGAGCGCTTCTCCAACACGCAGCTGAAGATCGCGCCGCCGGTGCCGGCCTCAAACGCTGTGGTGCCAGTGAGGAAGTGAGCGAGGGAGTATTGGACGGATGAGACGATTGGTGAAGAACCTTTCCCCCACGGCTGAGGCCTGGTGCTTTGTGCAGCTTGTAAACAGAGACTGAAGCCTTCATGTTTCCTTTGTTAGCGTTGGTTTGGGTAAAGAAATAGGTAATACATAGCACTACAATACCTCTCAGAGTAATGACGAAAGAAAAAGCATGATCACGCTTCCCGCATCTTCCCCCTTTCCCGCATTGCCATGCCGCGTCGGTCCCCCTTGCATTAGCCTGCTCAATTGGACCGTCTCATGCCAGATGTCTTCCCCTGCATGATGAGTCCCGTGTTGCATGACTGGCCATGCGACCTTGGCCAGTCTCGATTGAGCATCTGCCCACTCCACGATGGAGGTCTTCTCGCTCCAGATCAGCAGGAAGCTTTGGAACGTCCCGACAAGCGTCCTGAGTGTCCCGTCGTCGTTGCTGCGATGCGCATACCTGGCCAGGGCGCAGGCACCGACCATGGTCTTCCACAGCCAGAGATCCCGCGCGGCAGGGTCTCTCACCTCTTGGATTGTCTCTTGCAGGTCCTGCGCGAGGAAGAGCATCATCCTCCTCAGCACACGGCACTCAATCGGCTCGCCTGCATTCCAGATCCCCAGGATGCAGTCGAGGTATAGCTCCGAAGCTGTCGCGATCCCGCCCCATGACGAGATGAATACTTCATCCCCATCGTCCTTATGGCGTCGTGGAAACGCATTGACCTGCGAGCTCACGAGCGCAAAGGCCAGCTTTGAAGCTGCCCCGTTGATCCAGATCCAGCCTGGATCGTTGGCCAGCTGCTCAGGGCTGAGCGACGGCAGAGCCGACGCCGAGGCGGTCAGCATCCGCAGAGAGGTGATGATGGACGAGGCATCTACAGGGCCGAAGGCGCTTTCGTCCGAGGATGCCTGGAAGAAAGGGATGAAGAGCATGGCTTTCATGATCATGTCTATGCTGCCGATGCCCTGCGTGTTCCACTGCTTGAGCAGCGAGATTAGCTTGGGGAGGTCTGCCCCTCCGCCGCGTTTGATGTGGCAGAGGAGCTTTTTGCTGCCCTCGATGCGGCTTTTGATGCTGTGCAGTATGCTGCAGGTGCTGTGTTCGTGGTGAGTAGGGCATGCTCGCGTATTGAGGGACGGGCGCAAACTTACTAGATGAGGTTTCGATACGCAAGTTGCTCATTGTGTGACATTGGTGTGTTTTCTTTGTAGGTTCGTGGATATTTGATGTCCATCAGAGATACGAGGCCATCTCGGTGCGTTTCAGCAGTAAAGGTGTTGCCCAACGAACACTTTGAGCAAAGGGGTTAATAGACACGAAAAAGGGGTGGGAAAGATGCCTTGGGTACATACCTCAGTTAGACACAGCGTAGAGATCCCCCAAACAAGATGCACGAATTGGGCGTTGGAATTGGGGTTTGTCAGGCTTCCATTCACATGTTGCATTGTCTTGACCTTGTGGAACAGGTATGTCTGCTCATACCGACGCATGTCACCCACCCTCCACGTGTAGTGCAGGCCAGCTATTAATAAAGTGTTGCGTAGGGCATCTGGGTCGTTTATAGTGAGGGATAGACTGTCTGGTGTGAGGCGAAATTCCATCCGGTAGTTCAATGTGCACTTACGTATGTTTCCATTGGTCTGCGAGAAGTGACTTCAAGTCGTGTTCGCTTGTTTGCTGGACTAGAATAAGAGGAAACGTTCTTCAGTCATGACGATTCGCCTAGTATTAGGAGGTTGGGATGCGCGTACAGTAATTCAGAAGCTCCCGGGACCTGAGCGGCATCGAGATCGAGATTGGTTCCAGAGAGTATACCGAGAGCCACTGCGATGTCTGCCCTATCCGGTCCTCCTGTGCCATCTCCGAGTCTAGATACTGGTACGAGCCAAGGGTAAACGGCTGCTGCTGGCCAGGGAGCTTCTTTGCCCGGCGTTCTCTCAGAGGCACCGTGGACGGGTACTCGCAGACTCTACCGTGATGGGTGCAGTTGACACTAAGTATCCCTCCATCGTTAGCAGAGACCGAGACCTAGATCTGCCCGATCCACCTCGTGTATTTGATCCGATCAGGCAGGGATGCCTCGATGCCATTGGGGCTCGACGTACCAGAAGGGCCTTGTCTCGTCACACCGCACATGGCGTTTCCTGCAGGTGGTGCAGCCGTCCCGGCTTCTAGTGTGGCACTTTCGAGTCCGTTCTTGCGCCATAATTCCGTCTGGAACCCGCAGCTGCGGATAAAGGGCATTTATGCTCCAGAATAACGAGGGTGTATTAATAGGACGAGCCCGGCGCAGGTCCTGGAGCGCACTGAGGTTGCATCGTCGGGACCTGATGGATCGGAGTGAGTCAGATCGGTGTTAGAGATGGCTTCTCCGGCAGTTACAGGGGACTTGGCCGCTATCTCCAACTGCGCGGTTTCTCTGTAGTAATTGTTAGTTGCGAGTCTCTCATCAGCTGTCGGTTTCTCCTCGGTTACCGCCTGTCCAGATTATCCTTACACCAGTCCATTTCGGGCCAAATAGACGATGGCACTTCTTCTGAGTGAGAAACTTGTAAGCTCCAACCTTCATCACACGCACGGCGAGAAAGCAGAATTCCGCAATTTGCGTCATGGGATTTCGGGAGGAAACGGGCGGTCACTTCGACCAGAGTGCCGCAAGGCCCGCCAATCTATTATGAGGGATGTATAAATTGAATTGCATGAGTGCTCAATGAACCTGAGGTTGGTTGTCAATTACACGCGACATCTATCAGAGAGGTTTGTGTCAACACCGCTATTTATTTTTTCGAACCTGCAACCATCGTTCCTCTCAATTCAACATGACATCTAAACCTACCTTCATCCTCGTAATTGGAGCCTGGCACACGGCCGATACTTGGGGAAAGGTAGTCTCGGGACTTGCTACCCACGGCTATAAAGCCACTGCCGTGACCCTCCCTACGACATTGGGTTCGGCTTCGGCCAGTTATACAGACGATGTTGCTGCCGTGAGGGAAGCTATCGTCGCAGAGACTTCTCCGGGCCGCGATGTCGTGGTCGTCGTACACTCCTATGGCGGCGCTGTTGGCAGCAGTGCCCTCAAGGGCCTGACCAAGGCCTCTTCCCCCGATCCTGGCTCTGGGGTGGTCACAGGCTTTTTCATGATTGCCACTGGCTTCATGCTCACGGGAGCCGTATTCCTGGATAGGGTCGGTGGCAAGCCGCTACCATTCTGGGAGGAGGAATCGGATCCAGGTTTCGCTCTCGTCTGTGTCCCGGCGGACGACCTGTTCTACCACGACCTCCCCAAGGAAGAGGCGAATTATTGGGTTGGCCGACTCCAGAAGCACTCTACAAGGGCCTTTACAGAGGGGGCTGATATCTCGTACGCCGGCTGGTTGGAAGTCCCGGTGTGGTATCTTGTCACAACTGCCGACAAGGCTCTTCCTGCCGAGGCCCAGAGGGCGTTCATCAAGGAAGCCATTGATGCCGGCGGCAATGTGACGATTCGGGAGATTGAAACCAGCCACTCGCCCATGCTCAGCAAGCCAGACGAGACCGTTGATTTTATATTAGAGGCCGCCGCTGCCTTTTCGAAGTAGAAGTAGAAGGACGCCGGGCCGGGTTGACTCTTCATTAGAAAGAGAGCATACGCGCCCCGCAAGGGTTACTTTTTGATCTAAGTAGTTATTATATCCTTCCTTTATACTGATAGATAAATAAATCAACCATGTACAATTTGTATCATACAGACTGCAATTAATTGGCATGAGTGTCTAGGGGCGCCGTAAAGACTCCAATGCTTCAGGCTTGGGTGAGGTCAAGGCCCGAGCTTCTTGAGGAGGCAGCAAGTGTAAGATCAAATTTCCCTGGAGAATCAACATTTGACGGCCAACTCGCGCAAACCAGCATCTTTATTAACGGCAACCGAGGCTAGTACAATGTCCTAAGACGCGGAATAGTAGCTGATGTGAATGTCATCCCGAAAATCCAATACTGAAAAACACAAATTGTTAAAGATAACGCATGAGCAAGATCCCTCTCCATCTCTAAATCCACAAAATTTCTGGTGAATAGATACAGAGAACAAACGGGAGAAAACAGAGACAAAAGAAAACCATGACAGACCGAGTTAGAAAGTTAATGATCTAACACCACTACAGAAGATTTAATATTCCTCCTCGAATTCCTCGGCATCGAATCCTCTCTCAAACAATTCGTCGTGCTCGACATCGAATCCTCTCTCAGACAATTCGTCGTCCTCGGCATCGAATCCTCTCTCAGACAATTCGTCATCCTCGGCATCGAATCCTCTTTCAAACAATTCATCGTCCTCGGACCGGGGCTTCTTAGAAAGGCGAAGAGGCCTGAGCCTGGTACTCGGTGGTGGTGGCCCGAGCCTGCCAACTGATGGGTTGAATCTAAATGGAGAGCGAGTATCTAGCTGATGCTCGTCGTCCTCGGACCGGGCCATCTTAGGAAGGCGAAGATGCCATGGGGTGAGTCTAAATGGAGAGCGAGTATCTAGCTGGTGCTCGTCGTCCTCGGACCGCCTCATGTATTTGATAGGCTTGGAAATCGGCACTGGAGGCTTCAACGCGCGGAACGGAGAGCGAGTATCCAGCCGGTGCTCGTCGTCGTCAGAGACGGAACGACTCTCTGGGACCTTGATCCTGAATCTATTGTTCTTTCTACGGCCGAATCCAGGTGCAGAGCGAGCCTGCAGCTGATACTCGTCGTCATCAGAGACGGAACGCAGCCCCTTTAGTCCGCTCATGTTCGCGATTCCTGGGCTCCGACCGCCCCTGATCATCCTGTCCATCGCAGAAAGCCTGGTACGGGAGCGAGCGACGAGGCCGCTGTCGTCTTGGGACGAGTCGACCTGGGCGGCGACGGAGCCCGCGAGCCCGAGCATTGCGTATGTGAAGACCTCGGTAGGACGCATTTTTTTTGTTTCGAGTTCTGGGTATCTATCAAGAGATTGATAAAATGGAGAGAAGTTGCAAATTTGGGAAGTGTGGTTGGTTTATAGCTGATGGTTGTCTTGAGACTGAGAAGAAAACTAGAGTGTGAAGCTTGATGAACTAGATTGCTTGGAAGGCGAACCAGCGCAGTCTCTTATACTTTTCTCATAATTCCAATTCTCATACAGAAGATGAATCGAATATAAGATTGGTTATGGCCATTAGAATATTACTCGATGTTTTGAGTATGCAAAGGGAAATCGCCGGCGTCAAGTCACCAATAATAGAATCCAGCCCTACATGTTATTCAGCCGATCCCTTAGAAGCAGGTGCCGTTGCATTCGCGTACGGCATTGGCCTCTTTGGAGCGAAGATCATGCAATGGAGACGCTAGGAGGATTTCTCGATGTTTTGCAGATATTAGATTGCTGTGACTCTGGGTGGCTTGATGATAATATTAGCGCAATCAAGTACAAAGTCCATCCCTTTGTTAATCTTTCACCTGGGGCTACAATGTCACATACCTGTTTGGAAATGAGAGATGTTTCTCAAAGCGGGAGTATGAGTAAGGGACTTCGGTCTCTGTCTGCCAAGTCGTGATCTTTCTGTTGTGGTTTATTGTGCCGCATACGTCGCGTGAGGTGGCAATAGGGGGACGATTCGCAGTCAATGGCAACGCTGAGGCAGATATCGGGACCATGACGGTAAAGAAACAAACAAACTCCTCGCCGGGAGCGTGAGATTTCATAATGGACTCTCCATGGGCCCAAGTTAACACAATAGAATACATGCAAGGCCCCAAGCATCTGTCTCGCTTCCTATGTCATCATGTCTAGTCCAACCAAACCCAACCAAACCCGGCCGTAGTAATGTCGTATATATAAATCAGTATCATGTTAAGTGCTTTCCCCTGCGGCGCGGGGAGGCATCAATGTCGATGTATCAATCAAACCCTGCATGCGAATGCTCTAAAATAAAACCACACTGCGGGCAGATTGCCTCACGCTACGCCACACACCCGCGTGTTTATAATGCTACATCGTTTGGAAACTTATGCGACTGATGATCGCCAGCTGTTGTAACACCTCGCGGCAATCTCAGAAATGTCCGGGTCGCACTTGCAGTTGCAGCCCAGGTCGCCGTCCGGGCCAGTGCGGATATCAGCAAGCTTCTTTCCGTCGAGGTCTGTGGCCACCTGGAACATCTTCATGTTGTCAATGGTAGGGCCGTAGGGACACCACTGGAAGTCGCCGTGGATATAACCCCAATCGGAGAAGTGGTGGATCTGGTCGGGGCGGAGGAGGAGCGCCGCAGCGAGACTGTGGATGGGCGCGTCGCCCCATCTCTCGTAGTAGAAGCCGCCGTCGTCGTCGAGGTAGTGGAAGAGGTTGCGGTACTCGTCGGAACGATAGAAGTCCATGTCGGCAATCTCGAAGTTGGACCAGAAGTGGCAAAAGTTCCACTGGTCGCCATTGACGTCGTACCCGGGCTTGTTGGAGTAGAACAGCGAGCGGAAGGGCCAGGGCACGCGGGTCGGAATCAGCATCGACTTCCACTGGGGGGTGGTCGGAAGACGGGCCAGCTTCTTGTATTCGGAGATCTTGCGGAAGAGAGTTGGGACGGTCGTCTCGATCTCCCAGAGCGCGACGACCCAGCCGTACTTCTTGTCGGTCCTCTCCATCTCGTAAAAGGGATCGTATGTGATGTCGCAGGTGAACGAAATGTCGGGCTCGACGCGCCAGTACCACTTGTACTCTTGGAGGGCGGGGATATCGTAGAAGAAGCTGTTGGGCATGATGCTGATTAGCAGGTTGTACTCAGGTGGAAGGTGATGGCAGGGCAAGACTTACCCAGAGCTGAAACGGCACATGTGGTGGTAGTTCTCCTTGCCGGCATACATGATGCCTTGGTCCTCGAGCTGCTGCATGTTGCGCTGAGACTTGGACTTGTCGACCCAGCTCGGGTACCCCCACATGTTGGATGGGATGAGCTCGAACCTGACCGTAGCTCCGCTATTGCTTAGGTGTACGGCGTCGGTGACCTGGTCGATGAAGTCTTCGGACCATTCCTCGTTGTTGAGGAAGACCCAGGGATAGCCAAAGTTGTCGTTGAAGCGGTCCTGGACGTTGAGGATACTCGCGACGGCGCCCTTGACGTCCGAGTTGCGGGCCATCATGACCAATGTCGCGTTGGCTCGCTCATGGGTGTTCTTGATGGGCGATTGGCAGGTTTCGTAGAAGGGGGGATCGAGGTTATCGGTCGGGTGGACGACGGTGAGGTTGCGGACATGCATCCACGTCTCGACGGTAAGCAGGAGGGCCAGACCGAGGATCAGGCGCCAGTTTCGCACGAGGATGCGGATGCCGCGACGGCGGTAGAGTCTCTGGGCGAGCCGTCGCCTGGTGTCGTACTCGAGGATGGGCAGATAATACTTGGCCCGGGACCAGAAGGTGTTCCCGCGCCGGGGAGCAAACTTGCGGTCCATGGTGGCTGGCTGGGCCGTCGGTCGGCCAAGGACAGGACAAAGACAATCGAGAAGCGAAGGGTGATACAAAGATGGGGGACTGGCGGATCAGACCATGTGCGTCGTTCCTTGTGATCACAAACAAAATCGAGGGCCTCCCGCTGCTGACACGAGGTGGCAATCAGTGCTGCAGACGATCACCATGTTTTGTCCCTGAAGAAGACGACTGCCACTAATTTGCTGGTTGGTTTATTTTCGTCTCCTTATCTAATCAATTCCAGCGCGATACGAAGCGACGAAACACGCCCAATTGCTACTCTGGGCAACGTTTCAGGGGCCGTCAGCCTGTATCATTCAGTAATTGGTAATAAGACAGCGGAGCTGCTGCCCAATGAGAATGGCGCGTTTGTCTCTGACACGAGACATGCCGTTGCTCAGGGATGAAGAGCTGTTCGTATTTCTGTGATTTTTTGCTGGGTTTTCCCTTGTCTGCCATTGTGTTCTCGATGCAGATTGGGTCAGCTCTCCTGACAGTCATACACTATCCCATTCGAGCCTATCGCGCCAACTTGGTCGTCTGTTCCCCGTATTGAATGCATCATTTCTTGTCCGATCAGGGAGGGGCCGTCTAATTTAATCGGCAATTTTATCGCCAGGCGGCACCCCAGAGAACTTCAGTTCCAGCCCTATGGCCACCCTCTCCACAACACGCGCTGACATGGCTTCAGAGAGGAAATTTATCAACAAGTAAAAAAGGCAAAAAACATACAACAGCCGGTATTCGCTGGTCGTCACCGACCCAACTACTAATCGGCCCCTTATCCGTTTAACTAGGCGAGAGCGGACGGGATCCCTCGCGTTCTAGGAGCAACGCCGTTTCCCGGGTAATCTACGGGAGGGGGAGGGGCAGCCGCTTCCCCACTGCTACGCTGAACAACAACCGTTTATCGGCTGACCCGTTGACGCGAACAGGAAAAATGAACAGCGTCCGGATATTCAAGTAATGCACGACTGGTGGTCTATGCAGAGGGAGGCTAGTGGATTTCTATAGTCTTGTGTCACAGGCAGAGCTAGGTTACAAGAGATAACAGCGCTAGCACGAGGTGGATATATGACGCTTGGGTGTATTAAGCAGCCTCCCATTAATGAGATCCATTCCACTTTTACGATCTTGACCGCCCAGCTCGCCCTACTCACTCTGCATGAGACAGAGATACTGCGGAATGTCGTCGAGGGCCTATTATCTTGCCTCCGATTTGCCTAGGATACTGAAAACAAGGTTGGCGAATGCAGCAGCTGCACCTCGAAAGAATACAGCAAGTGGGACGAAGAAATACCCGACCTTGAGCAAATGTTGGAATGGACGAAGAGTTGGTGGTAGCTGCAACTTAGCGGTGTTTAATTCGAACTCGGCCTTGAATACTTAGTATCTTATTTGCAATGATTTAGATGTACTAGGCGCTTCTTCTTTTGAATATAGCGGCACAGTGATACCACTCATAGTATTAGTAACCGATCCCATAACTCCATTGACCTTACAATGTGTATAGACACCAAATCCCAGAACATAACCGTTAGTCACACTATCTCTATATAGCATCAGTAAGGGGTGCATGAAACTCCTATTTGCTTCAATTGCTAATGCTGAAGGATGAGTCTAAGGTCATTGAAGCTTCTTGACCCTTGACCTTGACCCGACCGCCAAGCAGCTGCTGCGCCGCCCTAATAGAACCTACGATTGCTGCTTAACATAATGTTGGTGTCACACTTTGTAGACATTTAAACATGCTAATACTCTGATTATAAAATTTAGCATTAGATAATCTCTAACTCAAAATCATGTAGGTCATCGACAGCATGCAGTGCTTTATCTAGACTCTTCATTGTTATACTCCAATAACCCCGACGAACATACCGGCCATCGTCAAGTTGGAAGAGAAGAATGCCATGCAAGCAGTGCTCTACCTCGTCTGTACAAGAGGTTGCAGTGTAGGCTTGTACTGGCAAGCACAAGACTTCCGCACTCTTGTCTTGACCTGAATCAAATCTAACAGTCCACTCGTCGGGTGTGGGAAGTTTGACAGGACCTGCCGTGAGGCTCAAACCAGTGCTCTTTTTAGCATCCGTAAGGCTCAAAATCCACATTTTATCATCTAGACCAACCCCGGGAGGGAAGGAAGCTAGTTTACCAAGAAGAAGCTTCCCTCTGATAGTAATACTAGCGGACGTCATTGTTCCCGTGATGTCGTCCAAATCGCAGGTGCTGTTAATAAGCTCACAGACTAAACCCTTACTCCACATAGTACCTGGTTGTAGAAAAAATACTTCACCATCTACAGCGGCCCAACTCCAAGAGGGTGCATAGGAAGCAGCTGTTTGAGTATCGCAGACGCTTCGAGATAGCCAAAGAAGCGCCCAGGGAAATGATATCTTCCACATCCCTGCAAGGTATATGGCGTCGCTACAGTCGTGCTTAATCAGCAGCTGCTTCGCCTCTAGAGCTAGATTCTGCAGCAAATATAGCCTTTCAGTAGGGGAAACATCGGTGTGTCTTGTGTATGTCATAATAAATGCAGTCCAGCTGTTTAATATTTGGTCGATTGGGTCGTCATAAGGAACTGCATGATACTCAAACAGTGGCTTCCATAGTTTAATAACTAATTTGCCATCATCTGTTAACTCTCCCTCCCTACCAGTAGCTTGGGGCAAATGTTCAGGTGGAACAAGACCGAACTCATTGTAGTGGGAGGTGTGACAGTCCCAAAAGAGCATCTGCCTGCCGAAATACACCATTCGGGGCACTGATAGGCGATCGCGTAATGCTCTCGCGTTTTTTGAAATAGGTTCATAGCGAAAAGCCTTAACTTTACCGCTATCAAGTTCTGCAAAGAATGTATAAGGTATCGAGGGTGTAGTTCTCTTAGCTTGGAAGTTGAAAATATCTGGTGATAAGGTACTCCGATCAGATTGTGTAAAGAGGCCAGACGAAGATGAAGTGGAGCCTGCAGCACCGATTCCACAAAATCCATTCGTTAAAATTTGCTGTCTCATTATGTTCTGATGCGCTGATTGATCAAACTGGCTATCTTGCATGGCACAGAGCTGGTCAATCCATATATATGAGGCTCCTATCTGGGTTGTCACCAGACAGGCATCGCGGTAGGATTGGGGGAGAATAGAGAGAGACTGCTGAGACGAGAATCTCTTCAAGGTAGACTCAAGAAGCTGCATACCATCATCGCCTGGCCAATAACAGTGGATGAATGTGGTGTAGCGAATGCCAGGCGGGACTTCAGTTGCAGAAACCAGACGAAAGGAATTGGACTCGGTGTTCAGCTGAAGGAGCCGGGGTGGTATGAATGGCTTCTCTGTAGCTTTGTTGCAACCCTTGTGTGATTGGACACAAGTTTCTAACCAGCTTCGAATTAATGCTATAGCTGAGAGGTCACCTGTAGAGCGACTAAGGCTGAGCATAGGACTTTCAACAGGAACTATTATAAATGCGATTAATAAGGCAGACAAGTGTGAGGATGGAGTAACTCTTACGCAAAGGTTGGGAGAACCAACCCCCATGATCAGTATATCCTGTTAGAATTGGGAGGTCCTCAAACTCAACACCAAGAGCAGAGAAATATCCAAGTTGGTTAAGTTTGGTCTGCTCTGAATACTCAATAGGCGTATGTAGCCGTTTGCAAATAGAGCATCCACTGTTAATAGCATCCGACAGAGAGTTCAATGTAGGGTGGTGCCCAAAAAGGTAGTGTTCAGGATGGTCTGGTGCCAGGTTCTTATTCCGGGGGAGTCTGGCCCCAGGGAAAACATCTTGGAAGGGACATAACCTTCTTGGATGAGACGGCTCCCAGATGATTTTAAGAGTGTCGGAACATATGTTGCAGACCATATCGAACGAGTTTGTTTAATAAAAAAAAGATAGAAATCTTTATTCTTCGGTGCTTGAATTGGAGGATAGGGTTGATGGATGGTGAGGGAACAACTTCGACTTGAAGGATGAATTGGCGCAAATTTGTAGTATAGATGGCCATAATCATCACTGGGGGTTATTCCATTTTGCTCATTTTCTTCTTACAAGCATCAACGTCCGACCAACAGAGCATTGCATGAGGCTGTGCTAATTTAAAATCATATTACGTGTTCTGATACGATACCTGAATTGTTGGCTGGGAGCAGGTGGGGCGGGGTTTGGCTGAATACAACTGGGACGTGGCGGTTTAATGCAGGGTGATGCATTGCCAACATCCATGCAGCCGCAATAAATGTTGATTTATGTTACCCAGTTAGTATCCTAACTTCTTGCCTGTTTATAGGAACAAACCCCCCTGCCGTAGACCCTTTAGCTTCGGGATTGGAAAAGCCGCCGCCGAGATGAGAGGTTAGGTTAGGCAGGCGACGTTTATTAAGCGGGGATAATAACTTGATACTGATCTGCCCCAGTATAGAAGAAGAGGATAATACCGTACTTCCGTAGAGCATATTTTCAGGTATTGGCTGATGTAAGATAGGATAAGATCCGGATAATATAAGAGTACAGTGATAAAACCTGCTATTCTATCCAATAGAATAATATATCTCACCGGTATACCCTCTTAACTAGGAATAGCTGCTAATTTTAAGTACACTGTTGGTAAGATGAGCTGAGCATTAGTCCCTCCGACGGCCGCTGAGGTGGTAGTGTATTGATGGGGGCCAGAGGGAGGAACATGATGTTGCTCCTTTGGTAACATGACCCTGATTGGTCGGCACCTGCACCTTGATCCTATTTTTTCAACCGGGCGTTTCACTCCCTGCTATGTTATCCCAATTGGACGCCCAGCGGTTAAGCTATACTCGAAATCTATTCTGTTGGCAGGAGGGTGAAAATGGCAAGTGGAGCGAGGTGGCTTGATGGGAAGTCCAAAGTGTATCAAAAATTAATTTTTATAAATAAAAGTATCTAAGAGTAACAGCCGCTTTAAAGAGATATATCAGGTTCTAAAGATGGAGGCTAGGGAACGACCTTATAGATACTAATACTCCCAGAATGCAAGGACATGACGGGATCGCGTGTTCTCGAATAGGTATGGTCGTATGTGACAGATGGCATGTGTAAATGTACTCATATAGAGGTAGCACACCTTTTCCCCTTCACCAGAGACTTTGGCACCAACACCAACGGATATTTGATAGGTAGGTACCTCGGGTAGGTCTATGCAGATCAAAATGACAGCATTCATGGGTCTCGGCAAACAGTAAAATTTATCCCAGGTTTATATTGATACTTGACGCTATCAGTTCAACTGGACGGTGCCTATTTTTGTCTTTCCCACTATTAATGCGGTGTACAAGTGGACATTAAGACATATGCCTCTCATGCCTGCATCGCCCCACGACACCTCCTCGGCACTGATAAGAGAAGTTTACATGTTCTTCAGATCAAAGAGGTCAATGAGCCTGACCAGGCCAAGTCGGGCATATCCATTGAGAAAAAGTATCGTTTGACAAATCCACCACGCCCGGGATATTGGCATGGAGCGGGGCGCAGCGTCACATCGTTTTGCTCGTTTCTGACTCCGCCCCTCCAGCTGAAGCAGTAGGCATACAGAACACGCTGAATGCTTAATAAATAGGCGAGTCTAAGCCTGCTAACCACAAAAAAGTCAAGCATACTGCCTTGCGCCCGAGCCGCTATGCGTGTGTGTGATGCAAATACTGAATTTCTTGAACAGCCATCCTGTAAGGCTGGAACCATGGCACATTTGTGTTTCGGTTGCTAGTTAGCTCACGGGATCTCCCTATGTGATATACTTGATGCTCAGCTCTGGTGAAGTTCCTTGTATACTACAACCATCAAGCGCTTTGCGCGTCTTCACCAAAATCACTACAAGCTGCACTGTGCAGCTATCTCTTTCTGCTGGGCCATACTTGTAGCTTCGAAAGTATGGCTGGGGTCCCTTCTTGTATTATTCGGTTCATTTGCCATATTCCAACTGGAATCCTCGGATCTAGAGGGCTTGTCTATCAAAATGATGCGCTAAAGCTGGGCGATGGTCTCTTCAACTCCATCCCAAACGGGCATCAGTTTCGAGAAGGCCTACAAATAGTAGGCAGAACGGTACGCACTTATTTCACCATCCAGGCTGGTATGCCACGTTTTGCATTTAATTAGCAGGGATCTAATACTTGGTCAATAGGGTTTGGCGACGTTCATCTGGAATTTCATACTCTTCGTCCCATCCGTTCTTTGCTCGGAAACGCAACTAGGGCTCATTGGTATGGTTGATTTGCTATTGGCATTAGTTCTGATTATCGGGATATCAAAAGAGTCCATGTATCTGCCAAGAAGCTATGCTCAATGTGCCAACATTGAACATTGGAAGCTTGGAGAGGATGGCAGGAACTATTTCATCGAGCTCACCACTCTGGATGAATATGCTAATGCTAAGCCGAGCGACCTATGCCATGAACTGGTCCAAAATTGGGCCATAGGCATTGCAGTGAGGTGAGTGGGACCTTGCTTTATTTTTCACTTGATGATGCTCATGTCCATTCAGTCTTCTATATCTCGCCTGCGGAATCATCAATATCATTATGGGCTTGGCTGGCTCATCCGGTATCGGATTTGGTGATTGTTTCTCCCTCTCGACGCCTACATTCGACTATCCACTCCATACTACCGCCAATAGTTGGCACTTACCTTTGTCAGAGTGGAACTATAGGGGTTTAACTCCTTTGCGATATTTGCTTCCAGTTCTGATTCCCCTAGATTATGCGATGGCGTCGACACGTTTCCTTATAAGATTCATATCCAAGTTGATCCTCCGAATGCAAATCCAAGCTGGAGTCTGGCGAACAAAAGTGCGCTCGAGTTTGTGGATGCGAAGGAATAACAAAACAGACAACTCTACACTGCCTATGGAAGTTGTCGAGATAATTGCCCAAAACCTACATTACGCGGACCTTGTACGGGTCGGCCGATCGTCGAAACGACTTCGCGGTTTGTTCTTCGGTAGTGAAGCAAACACGGTGAAAAACCGTCTTCACTACCTTCGCCGGCGCGCCTGCGAAAGAAATAGCGTATCGAAATGCTCCGTTTGTAACAGCCAATGTTGCGAGGTGAGCTATGCCTGCAACACACGCTTCATAGTGGCCCACCTGCTAACGTTCCTATGTTGATAGTCATGCTGGAACAAGAAGACGGTTCGAGAACCGCTCAGGTCTCAACATAGGTCAAGTTGCCAAGCCTATTGCAATAAATGCTTCTTCCTGGATATTTGCCGATGGCACGGCCCCGACGCTTTGGCACTGGGCAAGCACAAACCCAGTTGTTCTTTGGCAGTCAAGGCTGGCCATCCAGAATTGGAGTCGCAGAATGTATCGATGCAGAGCGTTACTATTTGCCCACTTTGTGTGGACAGGTCGAGTGAAGAGCGATGTGACATGGCGGAAAAGCCTGGGGTTGTGGCTATAGAAGTAGCATCCGATGAGCCTCTTGTTTGTCATTATTGCCGAGTTGCTCTGGGATCTCGAGGTCCTCGCTGGTGGGTATGCTCGCTTTGTGGACTTGAGTGCCCATCTAACCACCATCCGCCTTGGGCTGGTGGGTTGTGATTGATGATTTCAGGGGTTAGACTCTAACAGCACTGTTATAAACGCAGATTTGACACAGTTCCTGAATGCCGATGTCTTCCTATACTGGAAAATGACACTACTTTTCATAAGAATTTGTCTCACACTTCCAACTCGCTTTGACCATCACATTTTACTGCTGTCTGATTTTACTTAGTGATATTATGTGATATAACTATGTAGATTGACAGTCATATGCATGCCATACCCCGCCAAGAAATTCTTCTGTTAATCCAAAACGCTTGCTCTTATGCCTTATTAGATTTCCGTAATTAATGATTTTTCAACTTATCTCATCATTCAAACCAAATTATATCTCTCCCCGTGAATTCGAGGTTTGCCACTTCGAAAACACCATTGATAAATATGGCGGTTTAGATTTTCTCCTTGAATCCGAACCATGTTCCAATCAGCAGAGCTCTCGCTGCAACAATGGCAACACCGCCGAGGAATATGACGGCAACGTAGAAACCCGAAAGGGCCGTGGGGCCCATGGTGTCGAGCATCTGGCCGCCGATGGGGACGCTGATGAGCAGACCGAAGCTGTTGACAAAAGTCATTGTGCCAAAATAACGTCCGTACTCTTTGGGATCACAGATCTTGCCCATGCAGACTACAGAGATAGACGTTAGTACTGGGTGTTTTCTATACGGGGTCCATGAAGGAATAGATACTTACCTGGAAGTAAAGGGAGGAATGAGCCGGATCCGAAGCCCCAGAGAGCAGAGAAGGCATAGAGGGCTTGAACATGTGTGGTTCCAAAGGGGAGGAGTGTGATGGCGGTGCAGACGAGAGTGAAAGCCACTGTCAGAATAATAACGTTGAAATGGCCGAAACGGTCACCGATTATCCCTGTGAGGAGGCGACCAACGACGGAACATGTGTTCAAAATGGCAACTAGATAGTATCCCGTCTCATCACCAAATCCATTGATGGACACCATGGTAGGAAGGAGACCAGCTACTCCGAAGATAACAAAATCCAGAAGCAGCATGGATGCCGTCAAAAGACAGAACGTGGGAGACTTGAAGGCTGAGAAGTTGACCATGGCCATTTTCTTGGGCTTAGGCGCATCAGGTCGTGATCTGTGGGAAGTGACCTGCGTTAGATCGCCGACAACAGTGTCAGGGATGTCGCCGTTCACCAGCGGCTCGTTGCTGTCCATGAGAGTCAACTTGTCACAGTGCCACAGGCAGCCGGTTGCCAGGACCAGCAGCGCAGTGCTCACAAACCCCACGGCCCTCATCGACCAGGCGAAACCCCATTTCGGGAGCGTGGCTCGGAGCATCAAGGGGAAGATGACACCACCCAGACTGGAACCAGAGAAGGCCACACCCATTGCCAAGCCACGGTATTCGAGAAAGACCTTTCCTATCACAGCAACACCCAGAGTCGCGGTGATTGCTGAGCTGACGCCGCCGAGCACTCCGATGCAGAGCATGAAGTGCCAGTACAGTGTGCATTCGGCTAGGAGGAAGAATAGAGGAAGGCTTATACCGACGGAGATGGGTGCAAGAACACGAACGCTAAAGGAGTCGATAATAGGGCCAGCCTGAATACCGAGGAAGAGAGCAAGGAATGTGAACATTCCTGCAATCCATCCTATGTCTCGGGTTGTGTAATCTGATAGTTGGTTGGCGTGTAGGTAGGCTTGGACAACACCGATCGCCAACATGAAACCTAAGATATGGTCAATCCCATCTCTCACCATGATCTGGTGATCCTGGAAATGATAGAGCCAGAGAGCGTACCGTATGATGGAATCAGGATTAGAAATGACCCAAGAGCGATCATCCACCCTCTCACTGTCTTCTCAGCGGCTTTTCTCACGGGCCGCTCTTCTTGGGCTTCGACCTCCACCGTCACCTCCCGCGCAACCTTTTTCTCGCCAGGATTGGTGGCTCCAGCATTTTCTTCTTCTACGATGGACATGGCAAACTTTTCTATTGGGATGAAGAGATTGGGTGAAGGCGGGACAAAGATGGGACAAAGAACCACACGTGTTGGAATTAAGATTGATTAAAGAGCTAGTAGTATCCTGCTGGAGGGCCTGAAGTCCTCACCCAAGTTGAAAGCCAACAGATATAGATTTTCACGGTGTGACTGGCGCCCTAACGGCTCCATTTCCGACAAGCTCTTCGCCCGATACCGGTGGAGCCGGGACTGCAGCCGGCCATCTAGAAGCGATGAACCCGGGATGCCAACTAGCCCAGCGGCGGACTCCTTATCCCCATTAAGAAACAGGAAAGCGAAACTCGCATACGAGGAATTCGCAATGCGTGGGGGGAGACTGATAATTGGTCAGCTGGGCTGAAATAGTTCCAGCAAAGAACTTTAAGGAGGGTCAACTATCGGAGCCAAGTGAGTAAAGTTGGAAAGTCTAACCTCCGAAAGCAGGTGGAAGCGGGAGTTGATGGCGAATCACGGCGCTGGCCGTGGGGTTTCCGTGAACAACAACTCCGCCTCGGGACTTGTCGACCAATGATCATGCGGGAAATTTCCGTTGAATGGTCCTCTGCCTGGGTCTCCTTGCTCTTCAGACCGAGTTTTCGATTTAAGCATCAGATAAGGCGTGCTTGTCATCCATCGAGGTATGCAAGATTGCCCCACCGTTATCAGCCATTGGTTGATCCATCTGCAACAAGTCCGATCTTTCGGTCCAAACCTGCCGTCCAGTCATCCCAAGTCCTTGCTTGGCAAACATACGGTGAGATTCTTGGTGAGGGTACCGAAGAAAGCATTGTATCGACGCTGTTTCTTAAATTCTGTTTCACTTTTGGAAATTGATCAAACTTAACCTAGGTACATTCGTATCCTTTGGTTTGCAGTGAAGGTTGCCAGAAAACTGTGCCGGGTCTCTCGGAGTCCCATAAGCCCCGGCTCCCGTCCACGTGAGTGTCCGGGTACTAAATGTTGGTCTAAAAGCTAGTTTTGAAATAGTGTGAGGGGAGGGCAAGAGGGGAATGAATCGGGATACGTACATGAATATCATCCGGAGCCCTAGTTAGTTCGTCCCCGCCTCCTCTGGTATGATTCCGTAGACTTGATTGGGTGATATCGAAAGAATCTATTATGTGACTGAGCTTTGATTCCGGGGGATATGGCTGAATACAATGTCTTCTCATACCTTTTTCTATAATTAGCACTCACTAACGCCGGCGCGGACCCAGGTTAGAATACACGGAGTGCTAGGAGCAGGAAATGATAAGTGGCCTAACAAGTGTGGAATAGTTGAACTCTTCGACCTAGATGTTCTCTCGAACGGTTATGGGATGGCATTGAATTTCAAACATCAAATAGTCAGCAGATAGTTGCTCCTGACGGCCAGTTTAGATGTTGCATCTATACTCTAAAGAAATGGCGAGGGTGAAATCCAAAGTAACAGATTCCATATCTTGTTCTATGTGAGTAGTGGAACCTCGATCTTAACTTAAGGTCCGTTATGTGAGTCGAAGAATGACGAGCTCCTTCGGAGAATCCAGGCCGTTACTGCCGTACTCCAGACAGCTTCGCGATTGGTATAATGCGCAAGATGACGCAAAATAGGCCTAGGATGATCTCTCTTGAGCCAATCACACATTCAAAGTATGGGTGATATCATCCAAGGTTGGCAGTAAAATGGCTTCACCCATCGTGGTCTGGAATGATCATCAGGGTTTGGCCATACCCCAAGTAGGCACGATGATGTAGTCCTGATTGAAAACAATTGGTCTCGCGACATCAATGCACCCTCCCCCAGCCAGCATGGCGTTGTATTTGGAGAAGATGGCCCAATTTGATGGCGCAGAGGTTTATCATCTGCCGATCCAAGCAGCGGGGTCATACAAACCTAATATCCCCCCCTCACCATTATCAATGTTGCTGGTAACCTCATGACGTTGGAAGCACATGACATGACGAAATAGCGTACGCCCCCCTTCAGGTATATAGCTGCCGGGTCTTGTCTGTGCCTGTTGAACTCTATATCCATACACAAAGAAATTTAACCAGTCAACATATATCAATCAAGAGAATCAACATCATGAGTGGATATACAGACGAAGTTGCCCGAGAGACACACGATCTCATCCACAATGCAGAGGAGGAGGAGCAGAAGGTAGGTAACCTCATATCAGTGACTGGTTACTCGCTCCAAGTTCTGGGCAGTTCTCATGGAAGCATAGGCTCATCCTGGCCATAACCTGACGCAACCTGACTCTGGAGAAGACCCAGCTGGTCTCGGATCATCATCCACGTCCGATCAGAAGCACCCTCAAGGTCGAAAATCCAGTACATCCAAGATCGGAGACAAGGTCAAGGAGGTGTTCCACATGAAGAAATAATTGAGGATAATATGGCACCGAACCTGGGCATCTGATCTGTATGGTGAGCTCTGCTCAAGAATTTGGCATGATTTAATAATGTACGACTAATTTTGTACTGTACTTTTTTATTCAAATTTTGAATAATGTAAAAATCTTGCATTCCACACACAAATCCCCATATCATTGGTGAATATGGAGTAAGATCATTTCGTGTGGAGAAAGAGAATCAGTCCAACGGTCGATGGGAGCTTGTGAGTGGGGAGCTTCCGGTCTACTGGAGAAGACCCTGAAAATTGCGGCAATGCTTCCGAACAGATATTAACGCAAAATTGCCCGTATTTGAGAGGCACTCCCGAGATCTCAAGCGATTTTTGGCCGTTCTTCACTACCCAATATCGGACCGAAGCCCTCGTCGGCTGCGCTCTAGGGTAGGCAGGCAAGGAAGTAGTGGAGGGCCTCCCCAGATGCGTCATTAATCATCTGCCGACCCTGGGCTCTGACAGCTTCTCAAAATGGCAAGTAAAGGACATTTCACCAGCGGGAGATTACTTTCAAACATGCGAGCCGCGTCTAAACGGAGCGATAATACTGACCGGTGGTGTTCAGGTGGGGAGATGCGTAATTGGTGGCCTGACAGCGCTTCCACAGCGACAGACCCGCCTGAGGTGCCCCGCTGTTGAGCCGACGATAACCACCAAAACCACTGTGATTTCTACTATCAGCGCGCTCGCTGGTGCTATCAGTGGCCCCTCCGATCGCGGGGTCGTTCACCACTGGCCACGGCGACAGGTTTTTCGACCAGACGCAAGACCCAATTCAACCATTATTTATCACCATCGCCATCGCCACCGCCATCCTCCACGTCTCGAACCGAAACGACAACTCTCCAGCAGCTCTGCTCCCGCCCGTCTCTGCGACCGTACGAGCCCTCATACCCCCCATCCCCCCCACCTACTCCCCCGCGACCGGCAACAGCTTTACGAAATGGCTCCAGCTCTCCAAGAAAGCAAGCTGGCCTTCATCGGCGGCGGCAACATGGCTGGCGCCATCATCGGCGGTCTCCTCGCCAAGGGCGTCAACAAGCAGAACGTCTACGTCTCCGAGCCCTGGGAGGTCAACCGCGACAAGCTCGCCGCCACGGGAGTGCGCACCACCACCTCCAACGTCGAGGCCGCCCAGGACGCCGACATCGTCATCATCGCCGTCAAGCCCCAAGTCACAAAGACCGTCTCCGAGGAGCTCGGCGCCGCCTGGTCGTCGCGCTCCACCCTCCCCATCATCGTCAGCATCGCCGCCGGCATCACCCTCGACAGCCTGCGCAACTGGTCCAAGACGAGCGACGGCAGAACGGCGCACGTGGTCCGCGTCATGCCCAACACCCCCGCGCTGGTCGGCGAGGGCGCCTCGGGTCTATTTGCGAGCGAGGATATCACCGCGGACGAGAAGGAGCTCGTCTCTGCGCTGCTGGCGAGCGTCAGCAAGGCGACCGAGTGGGTTGACAAGGAGGAGCTCCTCGACGTCGTCACTGGCCTCTCGGGGTCCGGCCCGGCCTACTTCTTCAACATGGTCGAGCACCTGATTTCCAGTGCCGTTGCGCTGGGTCTGCCGAGGGACCAGGCCACCCGACTGGCCAGCCAGACATGCTTTGGTGCCGGCAAGATGCTCGTGGAGTCGTCCGACGACCCTGCGCAGCTCCGCAAGAACGTCACCAGCCCCAACGGCACGACACACGCCGCCCTGGAGACCTTCAAGGCCGAGGGCTTCGAGCAGATCGTGGACAAGTCGGTCAAGGCGGCGACGCACCGCGCGGACGAGTTGGGGCAGACACTGGGGAAGCAATAGACGGGGTGGGTGTGCGACCATCTTCTAAATAGACTACAGGACAAAAGGAAAATAAAAATGGGATAACAAAGAACATGAAGATCTTGCTCGATTGTATCTGAAGGCCTCAACAATGAGCCTGCCTACTGTGAGTGACCAGCAACTAATCTGCGTCACCTTGATCGTGTAGAGTTGCGTCTTGCGACTTGATTGACAGGTATTGATGGCATTCTTTTTGGAGACATTCGACCTTGCTTTTTCCCAAAGTGTTTATCATGTGAACGGTGATCTGGAAAGATTGACATTGGAGGCCGCTCTCAGGCCCTCCCATTAATAAGACACAGTCATAGTTCTGATGCAAGTGATTCATCCACCACACACACTCACATCATCATGAGACAGCGAGCGACACCGCCGAACAAGCACTTCATTGTTTGCCCAAGTCTTTCCCAAGTCTAGAGACAAACCAAGCGCACAAAGATGTTGTCAATTCTCTGCTGCCTTTCACGCCAGCACTTTCAACCTAATTTGAGCGCTTCCAACAATGAGGAAAATCGAGGGAGGGGCCAACGGCTCGTGAGCCAGTCACACTTCAAATGACGATCCAGTCCAAGACATGGCTGAAGTGGCGGCTGACACCACGCACGAGACTCGCCCTCATCCTTTCCTGATCAGCGCAGAGCAGCAGCTGCGCTTCTTGTAGATATTTATTAACCTCGTAGACTACCGACTGCTCTTGTTACCGCATTTTTGCTATTTTTCTTTTGAATCCCTGCAGCTTGTAGATATACCCCAGACTATTAGATCATCGACAACCCATCCCAGCCGGTTCTTATACTGACAAACTTCTTGAATTATGGAAAGCGACTCGGAGTTTTCCGACTTTGAATTTATCGAGCACCCTTCAGAGTCAGAAGATACCGCGCCATCATCTTCGCCCTCTGCCTCTTCCTCTCCCTCCCATTCACCGACTCTTCCCCCGCAATCTGAAGATGAATCCTCTATTTTGATGCCCAATGAGCTACGATACGGGCATCCACCCTGGCAAGGTCACAGGGACAAACTGGTAGGCCTCGTCGACATGGGAAGGTAAGTGACCTCATCCCCCCAAAACAGTAAATAGACCATCCTCCCCTGGACCCTACTGAAGCAGCTCATTTGCTGACCGTGAAGCCGACGCGGCGATCATGACGGCAGCAACGGAATCAGATTCTCCATCTCGGACCTGTCCGCCCCCCTGGCCAGGATCATCCCCACAGTCTTCGTCTACCGCTCCTCCATCTCCCTCTACGACGCCCAGTACGACGACAAGACGGGCGACCACATCCCCATCCCGGACCATGTCATCACGGCCGTGTGCAACGCCCTGCGCCGCTTCATGGTCATCTGCGCCGACTTCGGCGTGGCCAGCGACCAGATCCACGTCGTCGCGACGGAGGCGGCGCGTGTGGCGCAGAACTCGGTCCAGCTCCTGAGCGCCATCAAGGACGCGACGGGGCTCGAGGTTGAGCTGCTGGAGAAGGAGCAGGAGGGGCAGGTCGGCGCGCTGGGGATCGCGAGCGGGTTCTTGACCATGGGGGGATTGGTGATGGATTTGGGCGGCGGGAGCACGCAGATTACGTGGATCATCAGCAAGAACGGGACGATCAGGACGAGTTCGCAGGGGAGTTTCAGCTTTCCCTATGGTGCGGCGGCGCTGACGAGGCGGCTGCAGGAGATTCGGCGGGGGAAGGGGAAGCAGGAGGCGAAGCTTGCAGTGGATGAGTTTCGTGAGGAGATGGTGCGGAACTTTAGGGAGGCGTATGAGAAGCTGGAGATACCGGAGACATTGGTCGAGGAGGCCAGGAGGGAGGGTGGGTTTCGCATTTATCTGTCGGGCGGTGGCTTTAGGGGATGGGGGTATCTTTTGCTGTATCTCAACCAGACGCATGGTCGGGAGTATCCCATATCCATCATCAACGGGTACACAGTCGGGAGGGAACAGTTCCAGGACACAGAGGCGGTTAAGCAAGTCGCCAAAGCAGCCCACGAGATATTCCGCGTCTCTGACCGGCGAAGATCTCAGGTTCCCGCCGTTGCCTTCTTGGTCAACGTCCTGGCGGAGGCGATCCCGCTCGGCATCAAGGAAGCCCATTTCTGCCAGGGCGGCGTGAGAGAAGGCTATCTCTTCCGACAGCTATCGTCATCTGTCCGAAAGCAGGCCCCGCTGGAAGTGGCCTCGCGGAGCTTTGCGCCTGGCTCGCGGAAGCATATTCAGGACCATATCCGGAGCAGTATACCCAAGGCCTCAAAGGACGGGACAAGGCGGTTCCCTCCCGATTTCGGCGAGCATGTCATTGATGCGTTTGCGAATGTGATGTACGCACACATGTTTATGTCGAAAGAGACGGCTTCCACGGCAGCCTTGTATTCAACAAGCACAGGCATCATGTCCTCGACGCATGGTGTGTCGCACCAAGATCGCGCCCGGTTGGCGTTGATGCTGCAGGCCAGATATCGTGGCGAGCTCCCACCAAGGGAGGTCGAGTTCCGGGAGTCGCTCAAATCCATCATCAGCCCCGAGGATGCGTGGTGGGCGCAGTATTTAGGGCGCATTGGGTATCTGCTAACATGCCTTTATCCCACGGGGAAAATACACGCGTCCAAGCCCAAGGTGCTGCTGTCGGCAGACTGGTCATGGAGTCTGGGTAAGAAGCAGAACAAGGAGGGGCTCATCTTGACTGTATCTCTTGAAAAGGTTGCCGATGACCCGTCACGGTTTAGAAAGGTGATAGACGACAACATCAAGAAGGTCCGAAAAGCTGGAAAGAAGAAGAACTGGGTGGGGGACAAGAATCCGTGGGGGATGAAGGTTGAGACCAAGGTGACTGAGGAGGGGATTTTCAGCGGCCCAGACAGCAAATAGGCTAGCTACTAGGATTTCTATAAGCCCTGATGTATGTATGAGTATAAAAATTGATTATTCAAGCGCACTGACATTGACAAGTTGCTTGGAAGACTCAACATGCCCAGAGTGAAGCCATAGGGAAGCCGCTTGTGATATGTTAAGGAGAAGGCCGGGCCATGTTGATTGACTGGGCATATTCTCGATTCTAACCCATCGAGTTTGCAGAGCTCGCTCTATCCATCAGTGATATCAAAATGGAGTGAAGTTGGTGAAGGCACTCCGTAAAGCTCTCTTTGGCCTGAAGCAGTAAAGCAAATGCGAGCGTTTGCCTTGGTAGCCAGTTACAATCATGGGGGCGCTGATGGTAACGATTTCTTGTTATATTTGCGTGGATCTGCCCCAAACTGCGGTGGCAGTGTGGCGGCAAGGCCTGTCAACTTCACCCAAAAGCTATGAATGGAGGAACTTCAAACATTCCGAAGCTGACATGGATCCGATCGATCACCTGAAGCTAGTGAGAGACAACCTAATTACTTGGTGCTGCTCTTTTGTCCGAATTAAGAAGATTGCAACGATTTAACCCTGTTGCCATGGTCTTGGCTGCTGACTTGCGTGAGGTTAAGCATCGTGCATGATGAAATATGCCTGTGAGGCCTCAGCCTGCATACATAATGAGTCTATGGCTTTATATAGTTATCATTTGATTTAAAGAGTAAAAATATCCTCTGATTCTTTCTATTAACAACTGATCTCGTACACTGGTCTCTTCCTTGCCCACAAACCTATTCAACTGAACAATATGAGACTGAAACCAGCCTGCTTTATTATTTTTCTCCTAAGCAACTTTACTCAGGCCTTCTGGTTAACCCAGGTGAAGAAAAGGCTGATTAACTCAACGACGCCTCAACTGGAATGGGCACCATGCGGCAATTTGGAGCTGATGGAATGCGAGAAGACCTACCTCAATATTTCAGAATGTGGCAAGCTACCCGTGCCTCTCGACTATCAGGACAAATGCGGAGAACAGATTGATCTAGCATTGATCACAATCAAAGCGACCATACAGCCATACAAAGGTAGTGTGCTGCTGAATCTAGGAGGGCCTGGCCTCTCCGGCATACAATTCGTTACCACCATAGGAAAGACATATCAAGAGTACGAGCACCTTCAGAGATAAAAGCACCCAGACCCATAAACTGACCGTCAAAATGTAGTATAGTCGGCGGAGAATATGACCTTGTGTCATGGGATCCTCGGTAAGCCAACTATTGCTTTTGGGGATTAGTTGTGAACTAACAAGCGAAAGTGGCACTGGACGGACAATTCCATTCAAATGCCAGAAGAGTGAATCTACAAAGAGCCGTCGAGGCATCAACTACCCGTTACCTCATGATATCCTACCGCAGCAAGACTTATGGGGAGAGATCAAAGGAGGAATGTGGGACGATTACGGAAATTTTGCAAGTGACTGTGAAACCAGTATGCGGAAACATGGCCCACACATGGGAACGGTTACAGCAGCGAGAGATATTCTTTCCATCGTTGACGATCTCCAAGAAGGCGGACAGCTCAAGTACTGGGGAATTTCCTATGGTGCGATACTGGGCCAGTACTTCGCCGCCATGTTCCCTGATCGATTTGACAGGATGCTGCTTGATAGCATTCCCAGGCTAGATGACTACTTGAGCGGCACATGATTGACTCAAACACGAGACACTGAAGGCCTCCTCAAAGTTGTTTTTGAGTATTGTGTTAAATCTCCCGATGTATGTGCACTTGCTTGCCACTCACAACGGGAAGGAAACTACACCGAACAGTTTGATGGAATCAACAAAGAAGCTCTTTGAAGAGGCTGCAAACATCACAGTGCCATTGGACGCCAAGGTGCCCGAAGCCATCGACGTGCAACTTGGGCAGACAACTGTAGCCAGGAAGTTGAAGGGGTTGATCCTCACAAACCTATACGCTCCCACCACCATGGGGAAAATCCCTGAAATTCTTCACGCGACATTCAAGGGTGAATGGACACGAATCATGGAAGAGCCCCAAACCGATATCTGGGGTCCGTGGAACTTGGGCAGGCACTCAATGTTTGCCATATCCTGTGGAGATTCACCATTCCGCGTCGAGTCGGTAGATGATCTCTATTCTATTGTTCAAGCTAGCTTGGCTGAGAACTCCTTTGCCGACTACTCAGCTATGCGCCGTCTCGCCTGTACTAGATGGCCGTTCAAAGCTTCAGAAATCCTTGACGCCAACAAGATTTTAAATGTGAAGACTTCCAAGCCGATCCTCTTCACTAATACTCGATACGACCCTGTCACTCCTCTTGTGGGTGCATATACATCTGCTTCTCGATTCAGAGGAAGCGGATTTCTTCTCCATGATGGAGTTGGTGTGAGTATTTCCGTTTGTGAACTTTCTTGTTGACCGTTTAAATCTTTGGTGCGACTGAATAGCTGACACATCACTGTTTTGTTCTAGCACGGTGTCATGAACCACCCATCCAAGTGTATCATTCAAACTATCAGAAAGTATTTCGATGACGGGACGCTTCCTCCGACGGGTACCATCTGCAAACCAGGATTGGAATAAGTTTCATCACCCGGGGAACCAAAACTAAGTGCGGCTGTTTGCTTCTACTTCTTCTGTTCCGACAATTAAAAAAGTTGTATGCCGTCAATTAAGTGTGGCTCCTACTGGTAGATTAGTATTGAAGGGGGTGTTTAGGACGAGTCGTAGATCTCCCTAGGATACATCGGGCAGAGTATATCAAAGAGCTGCTTTGCAAAGCCTCTGTTCTTCTGTTGGAAGCGCTCACCTAAATTTCCAAAAACGTACCTAACCTCATTGACTGGGCAAACACCAGTATGTTAAAAGAATTAATATTCATAACTCTATAGTTTTCTTGATGGATATGATAATTCTCTAAACTAAAATATATAAAGAGTTTAGAGAACATAGAGAATATGTGTTCCAAGTAGATATGCTGAAGCTCTCGCTAGAAATAAGATAGCAATAATTAAGGTATCTGTAAATGTATCTGTAATTCAGTATAAATTAGAAATACTAATAGCAACATTTGTGGCAGAACTCTCCTGACTTGCAATGAAGCCTAGAAAGATGAATATTGATGATAGCTATCGCGAGAAATTGAAGCATGCCTTATACCTCGTTAAGCCCCCGTCAAGGGCATATGTGCATTGACCACTTGGCAGCTGTTGGCTGGGGCTAATCACCGGCTGTACTGCAGCACGTCTCGTGATCCTCCTCTTGAACTCGGCTATCGCGACCAAGAGTGCTCTCAAGGCTGGTAAAATGGTGCGGTAGAGATTGCGGCTGAATGTCATTCTCCAAGTCGCGAGACTCGGCTCGTCACACGCGGAATTACGCGTAGCATCATCGCGTAGCCTCCAAGCGCGCGACTGTGGGCGGAGGCTGGGGCACCATGAGACTCATCAACACATCGTCTGGACAGCTCCAAGAATTCTTCGGGTCCAGCATCCCATCCTATGCCATTCTTAGTCATACTTGGGGGGACGATGAGGTGTTGTATGCCGATATCCTCAATGGGTCCGCCGCATCCAAGAAGGGGTATGGCAAGGTGAGCGACTTTTGCCAGATGGTAAAGCGTGTCGGCAATTTGGACTGGGCTTGGGTCGATACCTGCTGTATCAACAAGGAAAGCAGCGCTGAGCTCTCTGAGGCGATCAATTCCATGTACAAATGGTACAAACACTCTGCTGTCTGCTATGTCTACCTACAAGATGTTTTAGTCACAGGCGAGCAGATTAACCAGCATATTCCGCCAATATGGACAACGGCATATCCGGTCAACCGTCTTATTACTGCCAACTTTCCGCAAAGCCGCTGGTTCACGAGGGGATGGACGTTACAAGAACTGATTGCGCCCCCATATGTCGAGTTCTATGCTGCAGATTGGACCGAGATTGGCACAAAAAGAAGCCTCGCGCCCTACATTTCTGACATTACAGGCATCCCAATCCCGATCCTTCACGGCCAAAGCCCCCAGAGCTGCAATGTTGCTGAAAGGTTATCTTGGGCCTCCAGAAGAAATACTACTAGAGAGGAGGATATGGCGTACTGCTTACTAGGCTTGTTCGATGTCAACATGCCGCTTCTCTATGGAGAGGGAGTAAGATCCTTTATTAGACTCCAAGAGCAAATCTTACAACAAGAAGAAGACTATAGTATTTTCACTTGGACACTTGAGGCTCATTTGGGCGAGTGTCTTTGGGGAGTCTTGGCTTCTTCACCCCTGCAGTTCGCAAACTCATCTCGGCTAGCTATCCATCCTCCCTCCTTTCTAGACAAGTTCAACGATGATTGGGCTAGAAAGAGCATCGCCTATAAAGCACTCGAATCAATGCCTCAAGATCTGGCTGAGGATGGTCAAGATGAGGTGTCCTTGCTCCCGTACCAGCCTGTGCGTCTACGAGACTACAAGCGTCTATCCCAACAAGCTTTTCATCACTCCGTCAGCTCTTTCGAACTTATTCCCTCGGAACCTCCACAGATCACTAGCCGTGGCCTCCGCCTTACGCTACCAGTAAAGAGGGAGGACGATGCCTCTCTCCCCGCTCTGGCTTGGATATATTGCGAGTTGGACGACCGCCTATTATGTCTTGCATTGCATCCGTCTTCTGGGGAATCTTCTGCTCAAGAAGCACGTTACAATTCTTCTTGGCTAGTGGGTGTCGACAAGTCTATTCTGAGAGAGTTTCGACTCGAGAAGATATTTTGTCACCCAGCCGGGCAGGTCGGCGTTGAGAATCAAGGACTGGAAGCATCTGTAATCTCGCCATCGCACGATTCTCCAGCGCGGTTAAGAATCATGCTACAGAGCACCGCCATTGAAGTGACTGACTGTTGGCCTCCTAAGCTTTTGGGCAAGGATGAAATATTCCTTTTCAACTCTGAGAACAGGGTTGGGATCGTCGATTGCAAATGCATACTCGATGATCATTCGAGCGACTTTTACGTGTGCTTTGGTATCTTGGAAGGCAAACCTTGGTGCACAATCATCTCAGAATCAAAGCATGAGCCGGAGGTGGAAAGGGACAGCGTCATCGGAATTGGCGCGAAGTACTCGATGGAATATATCTCCAAGCTGTCTGCATTTTCGGATCGCACCTCGATGTTGTCCAGCCAAATACCCAATATGGTCTTCACCACCTCAATACGAAAGGATGTCTCAGTTGCAGGACCTCATGCCGGTTTTATTCTGGAAATCGGTCTTCTGGATTGGTTGCAACGCTCCTTATGGGCCGATCTGTCGCTTTCACAGGCGGTCTTATTACCTGCCCTCCCACAACAGTCGGCGACACATGCGGCATCGCCAAAGAGCAGAGCAACCAAGATCCAAAGTCCACGTAAACGGAATATGATGTTAGAGTGGCACAGGATTTTAAAAACGCCTGGGAATGGGCAGGAAGCTGTCAATATCTTTGAGCAGATTCGCCAACAGGCGAGGTCTCAATCGGAGCGACAAGGTGGTTGAAATATGTCTCCTTCGACAGAGGCCTTGTTGCAAAGGCCTAAGATATGAACCGGTGGCATTTTCCTCTCGTTTAAAGCTCGAACAATCCTAGCCCAGGACGCTGATCACTCAAATCTTGGCATGCCTTTCCTACCAATTTCTCTTCTAGAGTATCAAAGGTCCCGTAGGGAAATACCCAAAAGCCAGCCGCGGACAAGAGATTTCTTTTTTGCTCTTCAGTCTCCCGCCACTGTGGAAAGAAGGTACCTCCACCGCGGGTGAAGAAATCCTTTGTCCTCTCTTGCTCCAACTGCAAGTAGTCGTCCATGCTTCTAGCACTCCTGACCTCGGCAGAAGCTGGGCGAAGGTATCCTTGTCTTGCTGTCACGGCGAGGATGTGGGAGATTTGACGCGCGGGATGCGGCCTTGCGTCGCTGCGGATGCCCAGCTCATTTTCCATCGCCTCCCAGGCCTTCACCGCCGCGTTGGGGTTGTAGAAGACAGTATGTGACTTGAGGCTTGACTGATAGGGGCGTATGTCTTCCTCAAAGAGATCGAACTCAACGGCGTGCGGGAAGAGGGGCATGCTGCGATTCAGGCCCTTGATTGTGGAGTTCCCAGTTCCGGAAATTGGTCCAGCACCTAGGCGAGACTCGGAGGATAAAAGGTGAATGAACCATATCGATTTCAGTCCTAGAACCCATTCACTGAGGGCTGCGATGGTTTCTTGTGGGACATCATTGGCAAGGTCCGCGCTTAATGCTTTGAGTGATGGAACCGATGTCCTGCATAAGCTGTCAAAAGCTATATGAAGAATGCCTTTTCTTTGAGGATCTGAACTCTTGATGTCAATGATGAAGTTGGCAAAGGTTGTAATATCCACATCGAACTTGCGCAGGAAGAGGTGATCACTCTCGGGATTGATCCAAACTGTCAAAGGCCTGTCGTTATCGGCGATGACGAGCAGAGAAAGCCGAAAGAATTGACGGACAACTTTTCTAGACTCAACGCACACACTTGATTGCGGAATAGGGCGTGGTGGCTGCTCTATCGATACCTTATAGCCATGGACGACTCCTGCGTCATTTTTGGCTTCATGATTGAGGCATAGAGTGAAGAGCCGCCGCCTGCAAGGAAGCGACAGTTCCCATACCTTAAGCTTGATTTCTGGAGGGAGGTGAGTGAATAAATGAAATGAAAGATATTTAGATGAGGGGTTGTCCTTGGAGAAGTGAATTTGGTTCGATGTCATGAAGCGGAGTTGGGAAGTCTCCATGATCTGTGCCTACTGCCTGGCTTCTGGTATTAGCATGATCCATAGGCGAGCAACGCACTTCTTATCTGGCTTCAAACTTTTTGAGACGTGGTTTTAAACGAGTCTTGGTTAAACGCAAGTTGAACGCGTTTCAATTTCTTCTCATCTAAGGGCCATATTTCCTCCCTTACCAGCCGGTCCAACTAGAGTATGAGTAGCGAAGAGTATTAGGAGGGGAAGCTCTCGAGACCAGGCTCAATTATCCGGACTTGTTGTGGTGAGCACATGGCAATTATGTGGGCGAGGGGAAGCATGACACACTAAAACAGGGAGGGCATCATGCCCCGATGTTGCCTAATCAGCACGTAAAGGGGGGTGAATGTAGCGAGCATTCGGCAGAATCAAGACCTCTACACCGAGGCCTTATTTCTTGCTTTACCCTGCTGGCCTCAATCATGGCACCTGAATTATCTCCTAGTTTGACAAAGAATCCATGACGTTAAATATTAAAACAAGGACTGTTGCCGCAAAACGAATCATAAGTGATAAATTCAAGTTATGTTGAACTATATGCTAAATACTTCTCCCGAGCACTGCAACTAATCGAAATGTCTGGCTCACATACTTCGAATGTGCGATTTCTAAATCTACGCATATCTCGCAGTTCTTCTTCACTCCTAAGCAAGATACTGGCAAAGACGCCAGTAGCTTTCGGCTAATGAATATCACTAACCACCTCGGTCAAAAATGAGCGAAGGCCTTGGGGGGACACAATTGTCGTTCTTTTAGACAGTAGGCATGGATGACTCAAAGCCCGAAGAGTGTCGTTGAATTCGTGTAAGTTGTTGGTCAAACGGTAACTCAGTGTCAGTCACACGACACAGTTGGTCCACCAAGTCGCAAGAATTGTGTGTGACGGCTAAGGAATCGTTCAATTGAGAATGCTTAGGTCCTCTGTCGTTCAACTTGCATACTTCTCCTATTCGAGTGGCCTTCATATCAGTTGCGCGCCTCCGCATTTAGCTCTCCAGCTTCCTCCCTGCGAGTAACCTCTTCCCTGCGAGCAACCTCTTCCCTGCGAGCAGCCTCTTCAAGCTGTTTGATTTCTTCAACACAATCTTGGACAGTAGCTAGTTAGCAACTAAAGGTCAAGAATAGATAAACAGTCACGCTTACCAGAACGTCCCCTCACACATTCCATCAGTGTAGAAAAGGCCGTCACTAAGGCGACAATCTGCCCAAATCCCCACGTATTCTCAGAGTCGCCGCTGAGGTTCCCCTCATTGGATATGCGCAGAGCAATGACCATGTACAGGTGGACAGGATATTGCAACATGGCTAGTAGAACGATGCCCGTAGCAAGTTGCTCAAGTGGTGGCACTATGAGCCCTAGGATATGGTTCGACCGATTGCGCTCTTCCTGCCATCTCCTGGACATGAAAGACGATTGGAGCGCAGCGCAGTCGATGAGGGCACAAAGACACCAGAAGCAGGTAATGCTAACGTATATGATGTCGACTGATGGGTGACCATGGTTTGGCGAGCTGATCAGACCATAATTGTAGCATTGGCTTGATTCAGCCAGATCCCATGAGCGCAGCTTGATAGCGAAGACGACCGAGAAAGCTAGATACAGGGCCATGAAGGTCACGAAAGCATATAGACGTGAGTTTCGGCTTTTCTTGTCTTGACCGTACACGTTTGCAAGACTACCGCAGATTGAAATTCTAGAAATGATCAGTGACTAGAGTATGAAGCCCCCAGCGGGACCAACTTTGGCATACGCTGTAAAGTTGACTGTGTCATATATGATGTGCATGTGGTACAGGCTCAAAGATTTGTATTGAGCGAGGCCGGCAATGAGCAAGCTCAGCCCTGTTTGAGAGAGAAATTAGCCCAACAATTTTGGCATAGGGCCAAGAGAACACAGAGGCCCAGATGAACAGAGACGCTGTACCGTTCACAGTTTGTGTATCACTAATTGTCAGAAGAATGCCATCGATTGTGCGTTTCAGAGGAATCCACGAAGATTCATGCTGTCGATAAAAATTTGACAATGTCCTTTGAGCGCCTCTCGCATCCCCTAAGTTAAAGGCGATCACCATATCGTCGTCTAACAGATAGGCCATTCCAGGTTTCCATAGTAGCAATGACCATATGGAAAGCACGAGTGAAATGCCTGCCTGGAACGCAAAAGCGATGACAATCTGAGCCTTCGTCAATGATACACCGCCCTTGAAGGTGATTGGCTTTGGTACCTACTCCAAGCCCTGCAATGTCAGGGTTCGTACTGCCCACTTCAGGGCAGTCGGCGGCCATGCTGGTTGACACAGACAAAGTACGGAGACCGGCCGGTCTGTTGATGAGAGAAGCAGGATGGATTGTACCAGGCGCGCTCGGTTGGGGCCGTTTAAGGCGTCAGAAATTGCGGATTACTCAGACATGGCGTGGGATAGATTATCGCCAATGCTACCTCATCATCGTCCCCTTGTCGCTCCAACCCAACTCACTGGGTACTCGAATGTAAAAATGATTTGTGCAAACAAATGAAGCAGTTGTATATAGAAGCCAACGTGAGAGAATGTCGCCCTGGGAGCTTTATTATAATGACAGCTATGATTGTTTTGTAGCATAGTATTTACCTGTAGGCTTGCCTTCAGAGCGATCCTCTGCCTTCATTATTGAAATGGTTCGGCATGTCGCCAAGATATAGCCATGGATACATCTTGAAATTAATGGAGCAATGAGATTGCATGGCCCAAGCCATCTATGAAGGTAGATTAAAAGGTCGTCTACTGAAAGCTGGCGGATTCAACGCGATAGTATTTGACAACGTACTCTAAGTCAAGCATGATTTTGACATATGTAGAGATGGCCGAGTAGAAACTGGTGGGATCTTCCCATTATCCGCACCAGATCGACTGCGTGAACCGATTGTGAAAGTGGCCGAATCAGCTTAGAATAAATTCGAAGCAACCCCAAAAGATCTTCGTCTCACGCGAAATTTTTCTAGATCCGAAACAGCTCTCATGCAACCAAGAACACGGCCCTCTTAAACCAGTATGCAGGTAATATTTACCATTTAATATCCTGGCATAATGGCTCAAAAATAGTATAAATGCAACACAGGAAAACCTAGCGAAGTCTAAGCACTTATCTTAACTGCACCATTATCGCGTGCAGCCTGGAGTCGTATTGCCATGATGACCCCAATTCTTGTTGTGTACTTTGCCCCCAGAGGGCCGTCTGGGATCAACTCCGCTTCGCCATTTACCCTCAGGCCTTCTTCTACTGTACATCTCCCAGTCTCTAGGAAACCCAATCCTCGATACATTCGGATGCTTATCTCGTTGTCTGGTTTTACAAAAAGGCGCAGGGAAACATTCGTAGCTTGGGTCGCTCGCTTCTCGGAGAGAAATTGAAAAGTTCGTTGACAGAGCCGCGAGCCAATTTTCTTCCCCCTGTGGCTTAGAGATGTGTAAAGGCTAAACATCTGCCATTTCTCGTCTCCCGGGTTCACGACTTGGCCAGATTCAGGCGGAAGGGCGAAGTCGGCGGCGGCCAGGGGACCACGCAATGTGACTTGGGCCACCCACTCTGGGTCTTGGTTAGGGCTGTTGTAGACGCATACGAATGTTTCTTTCTCTGGGTCGAGAAGGCGTGAAACCCAAACGTCGTCTGCGAAAGAGGACTCTACAGCCCAGGTTGAGGTGAACGCTTCGGGTGACTCCTTCAAAGCTTTCAAGCGGAGATCTCTGTACTTCTTGGCATTGTAGGATAATTCTGATGCCGACTTATCGACGTGGATGAATTGATAGGACATGAGTAGATGAATTTTCCCCGATGACTTCTGTCGAAAACGTGACGGCAGTGTTTCTAGAAGGTAGCTTACTTGCTTCTTATATACATCACAGGTGGATACCAGAGCTGTACCCTTGGTTTGATGATATTGAACTACACGAATTCAGGCAGGCGTTATGAACTAGTTGGCTGACACCGAAATTGTGGCGATTTAACCCTGGTCTAAGGGCACGGTGCGGCTGTTTCCAGCTTCATTTTGCGGCTCTAACAGCCAATAGCGATGATCGCCGTGATCATACCCTCACATTTCGCATTTCTTTCATAGCCTGTTTCCACACCGTGGGTAAGAACTATGTGAATGGCCGGCATATACAAGACCAAAGACTGAGACCGGTAGTTGTTATTTGTGAAGAGAAGAGGCACCGTAAGCACAGATGGGTATGTAGCCGTACATAAGCAAATCTGGTCAGTTGGCGGAGATAAGCCGTTGGCTAACACTTGCCTCCACCAATGGCGGAGGTGGAATTGGGTGAGCTTGAACAAAGGGCTCAACTTGACAAGCCTTTTGTGGACCATCAGCGTACTCGGAGCTAACAGATTACCCCTAGTGATTACCTCTCGTCACTCGTGTCCAAGTTGAATCCTCCTTAATAAAACAACAGCTCCTTCTCATCGAAGTGTTCTTGTGAATGGCACATCTCGAGGCGCGACATGTCATCACACGTGGCTTCAGAGTGCCTCGATGTGCCTATCGTTCCAGGTACTGCTTCCAGCCAGATAGACACCTCTCCGCTCTGGGCCGGTGTCGGTCCCGAGGTGTGGAATTTTGACTATGATCAACCTTTTGGGCCATTATCGCAACCCGGCTCCTCTGATAGCTGTCCACCAATGCCGGTTGAGGAATTCTTCATAGATTCTGATCCTACCTATGACGATTTGCCTGCAACCGAAGACCCAGTGTTGCATATATCGAACTGGCTCAGTCAAGAATACTCAAGTGATGATGAACCTCGGACTCTACCACAATCCTTCCAGGGTCAGGACAGTCCCACAGATTTTCTTGCCCTTGAGAGAGTCCGCACTGCGAGCCTTCATGTGGCAGACAGCGAGGCAACGACTTACCAACCGCAAAAACGATTCTCCACCGCTTCGATTCGAGTTCTTAACAGATGGCTTTCGTCTCATATCAACCGCCCTTATCCTACTGTTGGAGATGTCGAGATCATGCAAAGGCAATCAGGTCTTAACAAGAAGCAGATTTTGACTTGGTTCGCTAATGCCCGGAGGAGGAAGAAACTCTGGACACCGGTCTCCCCATCAAAAATCCGATTGCCTTCGGATGCGGCACCCCGGGAGAATTCACATGCTAGACCACCAACACCGATCGCTCAGCAGATGGACCCTTTCGAGCGGTGGAGAAACTCGCCTCCAGAGCATGAGCCTGCTAGTGTTCCTGCTATCGCGCGCGCGCTGCTGGGTGCTTCGAAAGATCTTGAAGCATCGCCAGACAGTACGCTAGAAGATGGGCTATCACATAGCATCTCTTCCTCGATCACCGGGGCGGAGACCTCTCACTCAAGCCAAAGCTCTCACGCCTCGGGATACTCTCATTCATCGGGAGGCTCAGTCAGATTATCTGGGTTTACCAGAAAAAAGAAGCGGCGGGCGTTTGTCGCGAAGAAAATCAAACCTCGAGAAGCATTGATGAAGGCTTGTCACCCATACCAGTGTACTTTCTGCACAGAAACATTCAAGACAAAACACACATGGCAGAGACATGAGAAGTCGCTTCACCTGTCTCTTGAGCAGTGGGAGTGCGCTCCAACCGGTTCACCTACTGTTCATACACAATCGGGGCTGGTTTGTGTCTACTGTGGCCTGGAAGATCCGGAGGAAACCCACTTCGATACACATAATCACAATGCTTGCCAGAAACGACTGAAGGAGGAGCGAATATTCTCTCGGAAAGATCATCTAGGACAACACCTTAGACTTGTTCACAACTCTGAATTTATGAAGGGCTTGATGGAAGAGTGGAGATCAATGTATGAGCAAATACGCTCCCGATGTGGGTTTTGTGACCTCGAGATGGATACTTGGACCGAAAGAGCCAGCCATCTAGCTGAACATTTCAAGGAAGGGAGCACAATGGCTGATTGGAAGGGAAGTTGGGGCTTTGATGAAGCTACGCTCGATGTTGTTGAAAACGGTATACAACCTTGTAAGTTTTTGGTCGCGTTTGATGCAAGGGCTAGTATTAACCCGTTGTATTAACCATAAATCCAGATCTAATCGAATATGAGCGCAACTCGCCGCTACCATTTACGACACAGCAAGGCACGCCGTATAGTCCAGGGAGCGCTTTCGAGCTCATCGAGGTTGAACTGGATTATTTCTTCACAAATTATACCGAGACCACTCATTGTGAGCCCTCAGCAGGAATATTACACTACGAAGCGTGTTGTATTATCTTCGGGGCTGAAATTCTCAACCAGGAATCTGCATCACGCCCGCCTTCTTGGTTACGTGATTTATTAACATCATCAGAAGAGATCACCAAGAAGGCGAAAATGAGACCTATGAAAAGCGCGGCCAGGTCTCGAATCACACCACTGAAAATCAATGGCAAAAAACACATCTTTGAAGACTGTAAACTAGAGGCTTCTCTCCATGAATATGTCAGAGAGCTACAGGAATTCGGCGTGGATCCTGACGACAGTGCACTTCAGCAACAGGCTTGTATTATTATCAAAGACATGTCCGGTCCGTCGCAAGTTCTCAGCAAACTGTTGAAAGGTCTATTATATGGTTCGACACTCTGGCTGGCTCAGTTTCGTCTCCGTGTGGGCCTCGGTCCGACAACATCAGTCCCTCTCCCACCAATGTCTATAGCGATGCCTGCAGTTGAAGTGGAGCGAGGTCACACAATTAATGATGGCAACGTGTATAGAGGCCTCTGGCGTCGTCTAAGTCGGTTTGTTCTCAACTCTATGTCTCCCTTTAACCCCAATAGCCATACACCATCAGATGAAGAACTCCAGTATCAAGCACGATGGATCATTTATGACAGGCAAGTCAAAGAGATCTGCTCAATGGGTATTGATCGGCATTTGCTAATCTTTCTTCGGCTCAAGCGATGACCCGTGGAATCAAACTCCTGCTGATAATCCGGATTGGCTTCGAGAGTTCAAGAAAGAAACTGGTCTTTGGGTTCAAGAATGACCAATTGTTGCGATACCACAGACACAATGTACCATGAACATGAACAGACACTGGTTGGACGGCCATCAAAAGGGCCTGCACAAGAAAGAAAATAGATAGGACGATGAAAGGACTCAACTAGCCGATTTTGACGGATTTATCACCTTTATACAAACTCGGCAGACATTGTCGTCTGAAATGAGATACTTACACAAAATACCGCAATTAATTGCCGGCTCGACATAAGTCCTTTCCAGGTCATTGCTCATTTAAGATTGATAAAAGTGCAAGATTTACTTTTTGACTAATGTTCGGTTTAGTAGGCTCACTCGCATAGAACAAAAGTAAGTTTTGACGCCTAAGAGGCTTTTGTATTTAGTAAATTAAATCTGATACTAATGAACTTTCCTTGCCTAATCTAGGCAACGCTTACGACTTGACGAAGTCATATCATAAAACTCCTTTCAACCAGTAGACGATGGCACCTTTCCGGACCGAGTAAACTCAATAATAGTCGGTTTAAATTCGCCACCATAAAAAAACGATGGCACCATAGAAACCCACTCTTCCCTCCTTTCGATCTTCCAGTCACCGAACCAATCATCGATCACTTCCCCGCTCCCATGTCTGAGCTGAGCTTTTGAGCTATGCAACTCCACTGAAACCTTTTTGAGGCTCTCGAACCTCTCTTCATTGTTCAAAAGGTATTCTGCGACGTGGCTGAGTAATCCCACGTCCGTCCAGGGTGGAAAGGTACCGCCAATAATTCTTGCTTTGGGTAGAAAATGGACTGACTCCAACTGCGAAGGAAAGGCATTGTTCCAGGCCCCAGCTTCGTCTTGGCCCTCTCCTTGTTTAATGAAGAAAGCCTCGCAGACACAAAGGCGTTTTAATGATTTCATGTCCTTGAGCGGCCCGAGGGTACTATTATCAATTTCTGGGAATTGGAAAAGAACTACCGCATCGATTGTCAGGGATTCCAAGTTCTTTCCGACTTCTCTTAACTTTTCACCAAGTTTTCTGGCTTTGATATGCTCTCGGTTGCAGTGTCTCATTCTTTCAGGGCTGCCAAATTCGTAGGAGAAATTCTTAATTTTCGGGAACAGTTGGAAAATTCCAGATATTCCGTTTATATTGAGATAAGAATCTCCGAGATCGACAGTTTCAACGCTGTCATTGGGCCTCAAATTTCGCCCAAATTCTTGGTCTGAGCCAAACCCATCGAGACGAACTACCTTAAGAGTGGGATGCATCAAAGCGGGCAGAATCTCGGTGATATTGACTGGATGCGTCTCGCTGGTGGTTTTGAGTCTCACCTCAGTTAGTGAAGCGCAGTTCTTTAGGCATCCTACCAACGGATCCCACCTCTTCAGTTGACATTCGAGAACTTGGAGTCTCGGAAGAAGCAAAACAAATGGCGTTGCAATATCCGAGAAGTCTTTATTCTGTCTTGTGGTATTTAACCACATCTGGAGGCATTGCCTGGCCTCACCCTTGAGACCAGGTGCCCTAATTCTTGCCTCTACGCTCTTGAAGAGCTCATCCCACTTGATATCGTCATTTGAGGTAGCAACAAGTTTGCTGGAATTAATACGTAATTTTTGGACATACTCTCCCAGAATTGGCTGATCGGCAAATGCTCTGAGAAGCGACACTGTGCTTACTCCAGGTTTTTGGAGGGATTCCAAGTCCAAGGTTCGGTATAAGAATTGGTTCGCAACGGGATGAGTTATTTCAGAAACTCCAGATGCTGAAGCGAGAACTTTTGTGTTTTGAGGATGGTTTTGGCTGACAGGCCTTGCCCATGACTGAGCCGGGAGTTCAGCTTCCAAAGGTTCCAGGATCATTGACCAAATCTCAGGTGGGATTTTGTCTCCCGCCGTCGTTGGTTTTGTGTCCTCGTTTTGAGACATTGTTGCGATGTGCTCGATCTGGTTTTCAAGTCTTTGTTGATGCTCTTTTTGCTGAGTGCGAAAATTCTGAGCGCGGTCTTTTAAGATATGGTTCAATGAGTTTCAACAGCAGCGAAGCGAGAGGATACCATATTTATAGTCCACGGAGGATGCTCTGTTTCTGTTAGAAACATATTGCCATGTTTAAAAGAGCTCTTTCATCAGTGTCTTGATCCCCCTTTCACGAGTAGAACGCGCAACTTACTTAGGTAGAGAGCAAAAGAACTTTCGACTTCCTGAGTAGCTAACCATCGCTGTGTGTACTCAAATTACGACAATCAGCAGTTACTTGAAACAGTGCAAGGTAAAGTATTGCAGTCATCCTTTGTTATTTATATTCAATCGCCAATGGTCGTTGTTCACAATCAACATGTGTTCTTATAATTCACATTCAACATTTGTTCTGATAATTGACACCCACTGGTCTCCAATGTTATGATCTCCCCCGTCGCTTTGCAATTGCATTGACCATTTCTGGACACTTGGTTCACTGAGTACATATTCGGCTACATCTAAATTTGACCAAAACAAATAGATGTTTCATTGGAAAAGAGGTTAAGTTATATTGCCTACTGAAAATCCTGCAACCTTTTTTTCCCTTGACGATCGAAAACTCAACGCTCTATGAGAACATTGCTGAAGCTGACTATCGTCTGATTTTGGAGTGGACAAAGGTTTGCTCTCGTCACTGTGTGTTCGTGAACTTGATGTTTCATAACTTGAAGTTAATTACAACACCATGCCATCCAAAGATCCTCTTTTTTCTTTAACAGTTCCCTGTACAGTGGCAGACAGACGCCTTGACCAATCGGCCATCTATCGATGGTTATCATCATCATTGTAGATATGCAAAGTACAGCACATGCCAAATTGCCGGATGTACACACAGTCAGTGCGCCTCTCTATCTAGCTGTTCCCTCCACAATGAACAAAGAACACATGATATCACAAGGGTTAGTCATTGATAGTAACTAGATGCACGTGCATGCACATGGTTTGTCATACATGCTGTCTCATTAGGTTGTGCATGAACTACGTGAGCGCCATGCAGCTACTGGCGTGAACGAGCGACAACACGTCATTGCTTCGGGCTTTCGAGTAACGAGCCAGCCGGATTGCGTGACGTAAAAATTCCATTTCCGCCTGAAGAGAGATATATTAGCCAGTCGCTCACGGCTCCGGCGGCGGTATTATCCAGGGACCGGGCAGCTTACTTGCGTGGACAAGGGTCTACTAAACGCTGAGCTGGTGCAGGGGCATACGAATGCCCAATGTAACACCGGCCCTGCACAGCTGCAGTCTCCGAGGTCAAAGTTGGAACTCCAAGTTATCCGTGCGTGTTTGCCAGGTATCACACAAGGCGGGAGCAGGGTCAGAGGCATATTTTGTCCATGTACTAGTAGCGGGTTGGTTCGGTTGTGCATTGGCCCCTCAGTTCAGGCATCCCGTCCCGATTCTAGGAATAGCTTCTCTACGTAAATGGAATGTAGCATCGATCCTGCAAGGTAGTATTGCAGATGGGTTCGTTCACCACACCGAACGGTGAAATCGTTCTTTCCCCGCGTAGATTCTGAAACGTGTTAACAACATGAACTCGGCTTGGACACTCTAATCCAAATGAGGTTTTGATCTCGGCAGGAAGGGCAGCTGCGTCCGCTTCGTACCTGTCCCTAGTGCTGGGATCTTCCGGTAGATTCCCCTTCCTACCGAGGAATATTCCCAGCAATGGGACTCCACTGGTCCTGGACATGCTTGACCCAGTACCTACTGTGGCCTTCCTAAGTAAGCACAGAGACCCATCGTGAAGGGATCTCACCGTACTGGAAGAAGGTACCAAAGCACATTAGTTCAGCTTGTTGCTTTCTAACAACGAAACACTAAATATAAGCATTGCTTTTGGGGGCGGCCTACCAACATGATGGAATGATCTCTTGAGGAAACGTAACTACCTATTCCTAGCCCGAAATATCAAGATCCTTCATCGCCATTTTTGTAATCCAGGGTCCGTTCCTGGCAAAATTCGGCTCAGGTAGCGGGCCATCCATGAGCTTTGTCTCCCACAGAGGGTCGTACCCGGATTCCACTCAAGCATGGGAGGGATGCCCTTTGGTGAACCCATGTCGCTACCGGGAAGAGCTTCCATTTTTCGATCCGCTCTCCGCAGTTTACGCCCTGTTTCGGTCACATTTGGCTAGTGTTCTTTTGACGACCAACGTCTTAGCCGCCAGCTGCAACCGAATCATGCAATGCACCCATTCACGCCCTCAGCCCTCAAGGATGCTATAGGATCAGTCGACTTATCGCTGTATAGGGAAACTACCAGCAGGGTCTTGGAGAGGGGAAGAATATGGAGTCATCGGAAGACACCATTTACACATGTGCCGGTGGATCGGATGCCTGCCATCTTTAGAGATGTACCAAGTGATTCCGAGCTGCCCTTTTGTTGTGTTGAACTGGGAAACTGCGAGAAGGATAAAATGCCAATGTCCCCTCCCCTTTGGCTCCAAGCACTTCCACACACCAAGCTTTCTCGGAAACTCAGGTCTCCATACATTCCCTAGATATAGATATCTACACAGCCGGACTCTGTAGATCGAAATGCTCTTCAACGTCGCTTTCCTTTCCACCACCCTCCTTGCGGCTCTTGCTGCTGCTCTGCCAGTGGACCTTTCAGCCGAGCTCCCTGATCTCAAGGATCAGATTGGTGAGAACGGCGAGGGAACCAGCAAGGCCACGGTGACCCTCAGTGACACTTACAAGGTCTACTCTGGGGACGGTACCAAGAGTGCCAGCTGGCCCAATAAAGACTCTTGGGGCACCTACGACCAGCTCTGGAAGCAGAACCTGCCCTTGATTCGCCAGTCCTGCACCTGGAATAAATGGGGTGAGGACAACTCGGAGACAGAAATCAGTGACATCAACAAGGCTATCCAGAAAGTCTCCAACGAGACCCAAGTTGACAGTCGAATTATCCTTGCTGTCATGATGCAGGAGAGCAAGGGGTGTGTTCGCGTTCCCACGTCCTACAACCCAATTAAGAATCCCGGCCTGATGCAGTCTCACAATGGCAAGGGCAGCTGCGATGGTGTCGCTAAGTGCTCTGCTGCCACAATCGAGCTGATGATCCGGGACGGAGTTGTTGGTACCTCCAATGGCGACGGCTTGAAGCAGTGCTTCGCAAAGACATTGAAGACCGTCGGCAGCGCGGGCAGCCGGGCGCTGTACGCTGCTGCTCGAATGTATAACAGCGGCTCTGTTGACTATGAAAACTTTAGCAATGGGTTCAGCAGCACCAAGTGCTACGTCTCTGACATTGCAAACCGCCTCACTGGATGGACTCTGGCCAAGTCCAAGTGTCGCTAAGCACACAAAAGAATACTTTGGCGAAGGATTTTTCGCTTCTGCCTTCTGATGGCTATCTAGCCATCATTTTCAATTCTTCGTACATACTCTTCAAATTTTCTGTATATAGAATAGCTACGGGTGTAGCAAACTGACGATCGCTCGACTCATGAACACTTACGAATCTTTTGGCTTTCTTTTAAATACCCGGTCCGGTCGCTACCATCATCTGGTCACTGAAGTAGATCAGCTTATCTGTCGTTCGCTTACATAGGTTTTACGGGTTAGACATACAATGAAAATGGAATCGCATTTCTTCTTTGCTATATTGACCCCTACTAGATACCAAAATCTAAAATTATTTGTATAGGGATCATATAAACATAAAACAACCGACAAGCCTTGAAATATTGTACATTCCGCGATTTCTTAAGTTTTAGAACACTTTGATAAGACCACGGGATGCAGGCTATACCGGCTGAATCAAGTAGGTATTGATACAATTGGAGGGGGAATAAGTCTAAGCAAGCGATTTTTCTACTTGACTCGAGTGCCTATTAAAGGAAGAAAACGGTGATCTATGTCTTTCAAAGCCGACTGGCTCAAGTCGTATAGAATCTCTCTTCCCCTATCATCCGTTTCAAGCACGTCAAAGGCCATACGGATTGGGAAAGCCGCACACGAGGGCCCGTACATCATCCATTCCTCTCTCGTCATATACTCCATGCTCTGACATATGTTGACGGCAAGATCGATACACCGTTGGCGGCGCACATTTGGTTCTCTCAAGATAGCATCACCATAGAAGGAGTCTCCCAAATTTCCCAAGCATGGAAAAGCGGTTTGTAAATCATTTATCTTGGAAAGGCAGACGATCTCGAAGGCCCAGAGATGGGTGAAGGCGTTGGCAGCGTTCAAATCCGAGAAGCAAAGTTGCGGGTAGCAATTTCCAGTAGCATCGTTTGTTTTTGGTGAAGGCCAATACGCAGGGGCGTTTGGCTCAATCTCAAATGTGATGGCTGACGCCTCGAGCTGTGTAGCTATGTCGGATAGCTCGATGAGTCTTTGTATGCCGTCCTTTTCAAGTGTTCCAAAGTTCAATAGTTCTGCCTTTTGCATTATTTCCGGGATAATGGCTGCCTGGCTGAGAAACCCTTGCATCGAGGAAGGTCCGTTTTGTTGGAACGGTATCGTTTTCCATTCGTCTAAAGCGAGAAAGGTAGCTTTCTCGCTCGCCATGGCCTCCAGAATCTGCGAGAAAAAAATAAGGCTACTGTCAAAGTTGAACAAAGAAGATAATGCCATCGATGGGCCCCCCTTCTTTGACTCGTTTGCTTTGGCATAGAGGACGAGGGACGGCAGTTGGGCTAAGCTTACAAGTAATGGCCTAATGCCGGTGAACAGTTTGTGTGGTATACCAGCACTGAAGACCTCCGGTTTGCATGATTGCATTACCTCGCTGATGGCACGCAGATGTATGAACCAGCTGTTTGGAGCCACCGGGAACAGAGCCTTGGTAGTTGTTAGTCAAGCCGTAAACCAGTCTCGTCTGCCTAATTGCCTAACCACTAACCGCAAATTAACGGTTAGTGGCTCAGAAAATACTCACCTCGGACAATGCAAGACACATCATCGTCGCTAGCTTTTCATTCTGATGAGAATTGCTTGGCATACTTAGAGTTCGACGAAACAGGCGGAGGGTTTTGCCGTAGTGCGTAGATAGAGGTGTGACAAGGGGTTTATTCGTTCTGTTGGCAGTTATAGATAGTGCCAGGGATCTTATGGCATGGTCTAGGCACTCGTCAATATGGCTTCCACTTCCACGGGTTAAATCTGGAAGGGCTTCGACCCAAGCACCGCAAACCAGCGTCGACTGGGAAATAATTGATCGGATTCCGGAGGGCAGTTCAATCATGGGGACATAGCTTCGTACAACCAGTGATATGGTGTCTTGTAATGTGTCAGGCAAGGGCCGGCATATCGGATAGAGCTCGTCGCGAGTTTGAGATCGAAAATCGTATGAAGCGGGGCATGGAGGAGACTGAGCCTTGATCGAGCCCGAAAACTGCGGCGGAGATAATGGTATGGGCGATGTACCTTGGGTAATAGCTGGCTTGTGACTTTTTGGCTCCCGCCTAACTCTAGCCCGGGACTTTGGTCGAGATTTTGAACAAGACTGACTTTGAGGAGTCAAAGCGGATTGTACAAAGAGAAGGCCCGGGTATCCTTCGCATTGGCGTCCGGTGTGGGCGCATTGAGTGCAGCCCGGACGTTTACCGTCACACTCAACAGGTGAACCACAGAGTCAGCATGGAAATTCCGGATAAAAATTCGTCAAGTTGTCTCATACACCAAGTTTATGCCTCCGGCAGTTATGACACACCCGGGTCTGTCGGAACTTCATAGAGCCGGGTGACGTTTAATGGCTCTCTAGTGGGTCGTAATTTTCTCTCGTGCTATTTAGATCGCCCGCAATCACCCAATAGCCATGAGGCGAGTCGCAAAATACAAATATTAAAACGTGGTCACAGTCGGGGTGTGTCAACTGGGAACAATTGAGGCTGAGGTCGGGGAGGTGATATGAGCCGGGATAGAATAAGCACAAAGCCTGGGGCCTCCACGAAGAAAGTAGCGTCATCTTGGCGGGTTTGATTGCTGAATCCAGCTTAGTTCGCCTTACTCTCGTCATGTTCTCGTAACTCATCATGGAGGAAGAGAGCCCTGATTGGGCAGCACCGTGGCAGTAGAACCTCAGCCATCCGAAGAACATAACATAACCATCCCGCCATGACGCTTTGTAAAGATGAGCCATTTGAGATACGGGCGTTATTAATATACATATACTTTGGATTGATTTGAAATCAATTGTCCATCAGAGTCAAATGTGTGGGTTTCAATCATGCTCGCCGAGTTCCGACCGCCGGGTCAGCAGCCTGAACGGACACATATAAAAGCCAGCCAAGGTTTGTTTGGCATGTGCAAAATCATCAGTTTGTTTTAATTAAATCCAAGTATTGTTTTACGCGAACAACCATGGCTATCACCTCAACCTTTACAAAGAAAGTCACCATGACTCACATTGGGACTGCAACAGCAATCCTCGAAATTGACGGGATCACATTCTTGACAGACCCCTTCTTCTCTCCAGCTGGGAGTTCCTGGCCGCGTCCAGATGGGGGAGAGCTAAAGGTCAGCGATGATCCCGCTTTAAGGCTGGACCAGCTCCCCCACATTGACGCGGTGCTTCTTAGCCATGAGAACCATCCTGACAACTTAGATGAGCTTGGCCGTCAGCTTCTTGATGGCCGCCGCGTGTTCACTACCCCGGATGGAGCCAATAATCTTGCCCCTCGCCCCAGTGTTATTGGACTCAAAGATTGGGGAGAGACTCTGGTCACAATTGGTGGTAAGATGTTCGAGATCACGGCAACGCCCTGTGTCCACGTCCCGGGGCACGAGTGTGTCGGATTTATCATCCACACCGAAGACTTCGGGACCACAGACGGTCGGAAGAATGCCATTTATTTCTCTGGTGATACGATATATGTGGAAGACCTGGCCAAAATGACGACCAAGTTCCACATCGCTGTTGCCATTATGAATCTTGGCAAGGCTATGATTCCCGGACTGCAGATTACCATGGACGGAGAGCAGGCTGCTCACCTCTTTCGTGACATTCAAGCCGATGTTCTTGTCCCTATGCACTACGAATCCTGGGGCCACTTTACCCAGAACGAGAAGGAATTGTCAGAAGAGTTTCAAAGGGAGGGGATACTCAATAACATTCGCTGGCTGAAGCCCGGGTCGCCCGTATGCATCAACTAGGCGGGCTCATCGACCAAGTCGGAGCCCAAGGCAGCATCCCCAGCGGGGGAGGGAAGAGAAAACAAGAATGACGCGAGGAAAAAGCAATGTGTAGGACTGATGGGACGAGCTGGCTCGATTAGGCTAGAAGATGGCGATGAGACCCTTGTGTTTTGCTAAATAACCTAGACACGAGACAGCCAATGGAAAGATACGCATTCACGTGATATGTTTGGCACATTGTGAGCGGCTCTTCGGTGTGGTTCCAAATCAAAGAATAGGTGAAGACCAATATTATTAGCATGAACAGAGCGAATGGGCGCTTAGAGTGATGAGAGTTTCTGTTGACGAGCAGAACTCGCCATTTTAACTAAAAGAAAAACAAAGCCGGCGATGCTAAAGGCCGTATGATGAGATAAAAAAACGCGGAGGGCGGGCTTTTGTGCTTCAGGGCTTACGCTTTATGTTGTGGCGCGACACCCCCCTCAGGAAGACCAAGGAGGCTGGTGGACAGAGTTCCCACGAGACAGACCTCCGCTTGATAAATACCTTGTCATTCTGATATTAGCTCAGATCATTCTAACATCTACATGGTGCCATTCTACAGAAGACAACAAAATTAGGAAACTAATCAGATGTCTCGCATCGTACAAGATAGCGGAGAGGGCCGCAAGACTTGCCTCAGCCCGAAGTCACAGCAAGAAAAGAATAAATTTAGTTCAATTAAACTAGTATCTCGTACAAGAAGAAAACTTAAAAATGATCGCCAAAGCTAGGGCTACTGCGTTGAAGGCGTTGCCTAGCTATGGCAACACTAGGGAACGCTGGCAGCTACTAGTATGGCGAAACCCAAGATGGAGTCATCCCGTCGAAACAAACAAGAAAAATCTCAAGCCCTGCAAACTCCATCTGACACACAGTGTATCCCAAACCCTCGCCCGTTATATGGGGGTCTCGTTGAAGAAGTACTCTTCAGGGGGCATCGGCCGCTCGACGGTGGTTGGGGACTCTGCGGATACAACTGGAAAGGAGGTTGCTGTCAGTCAAGAACGAGCCGATAGAACTGTGGGAGCTTTGAAGAGCACACCTTGCTGCTCTTGTAGCTGTTGCCTCAGCCGCTCGTATGTTTGCTTCAACCCCGTCCGACCAAGCTCCAATGCTGCGGAGGTCGTTGTCTAGCTCGGTGGCCGGAAGCGGGTGCCGATTGCCCATGACGACGTTGTTAACGGTCGGGAGATGTTGATTCTCGGTGACACGCGGGATTCTCGGAAACCAGACTATGGACTCGGCGCGGAGCAACAAGGCACTGATGGGATCGTCTCTAGAGCAAAGGTACATCTGCATTGCGGGTGGGATGGAACGATTGCTGTATTCATGCTTGGTCAGTCCATCGTTGGCACGAGTCTGGAGGTTGTGGAGGGTTAGAGGAGGGTACGTACTTGATTTGGCACCCGGGGCATCTCCTATTTACTCGGTAGGATCTCATGATGGAAGATGGCTCGGGTCGTACTATGTAGACTCGTCTCGTCCTGGCACAGTAGGCGTCGTGGGTGGGCAAAGAGCCTGTAGGAAGTATCGTGATGAACAGCCACGGCTTCGAGAGAGAAGAAAGAGGGCATTTTATACTCTTCCACAACTCCTGCTGGAAGGCGGTGGCGCCTAGCTGTCGTTTCTTTTTGTTGTTTACATGGTGTTCGGGCAGGCGGTTTGTTTTCCAGTGTCGGGTCTTCCACCCATGAGTGTCGCCCGTCCCACGAGGGAAGGGCCGATCCGGGACTAGGTTGCAGGCTTGAATGAGCTAGAGACATACTTCGACAGGCTCACCGTCGAAAAAAAGAAATATGATAATGATCTATCATGAAAGAACGGTCAGTGCGGAACCGAAAAGGCAAAGTAAGGTCTGCCTCTGCTGCTTGCTTACTAGTTGCCTTATGTAATTACCACCAAGATGTGACGGAGTTGTCTGGTCTTGTTGAGAATCAGTTCACCCCACCCATCCAACTAAGGGAACTTGATTTTAGGTTACACGTTTCAGATTGTGCCTAGTCATGGTTTGGTCGAATCCAGAGAACAAGCAGCACTAGAATGTTGGGGAAGCGCCCAAGCACATCGTTCGGTTTTTGATAAGAGGGTCCACCAGATGGAGACCAGCGGAAGCTTCCCTCTTTCCCCGATGATGAGATCGCCCATTTGGATCTCAACTCGCTATACTACGGCTCAAAATCCCGGGGGGCGAAGAGAATGAGAAAACTACTTGAGTTTCCAGCCTCCATCCCCAACAGCATGCAGTAGTTCTTAAGCTAAGACCAAGATAGCGGGCGCACGCGATTCAGGTAGCTCCTCCAGTCCCTCTGAACCAATCGATTTTCTTCGCCCCAGCTGGATACTGCGTATTCTCAGACCAGAATGCCAGGGTGGAAGTTGTAGGATCCAAAAAGATCCCATGGGTCTGCTTCTGAGCCGAGCTGCTCTTGTTACGGTCTTTGATCCAGCCGTGAGCGATCTGCCGGGGGTAATCCCCCAGGCTGTCCGGCCGTGACTCGCCGGGCAAAAGCTACTCCCTAGTTCCCGGCTGTCAAGTTCCTACTAGTTGGGGATACCTAACTTATTCTTGTAGTCTGACGCAGCTTTGGCCGCCCTTTGTATTCACAATATTGTCTGCACTTGTATCAACTTCCTGAGTTCTAGGAAGGATTTGTGGACGGTGGGTTAAAAACTTCGTCCGCATTGTTTTGATCAGACACGTAGCATATTTGGTAGGCCTCCCGCCCCTGCAGAGGTATTGGGCTGGGCATGTACCCAATATCAGCCCCCCCACACACACGTCGGAAGAGGGCAATTTCCGTAGGCTTACCTTCCACGGGAAGTGATCACTTAGATGTCCTTGTTGGTGGCTGGCTGAGAGTCGATGATGTGACGTCGGCAAGGTGCACAGGTGGAGAGCCCCCTCAACACCTTGACCTCAGCCTCTTACTTCTGACGCTCAGGTAAATTTACGTACCACTTCAACTCAATCTACACGATCGAGAACATGAGATCCGGGGGATAATGACAGAACGTAAAGTGAGTCCAGCCAACCGGGTAGGCTGGTTGCTCAGTTGAAGGTGTTTGTGTTTCCTCACGTTCTTCTCCTTGGTGTGATGTTACGTGGCGGCGCATGCTTACGCCTCTGGCAAGAGGTGTGGATCACATCGGATTGACTCGAAGAGAAAAAAGAGAAAAAAGAAAGAAACGGTGAGACAAAATCAAGAGCTTGGGAAATGAGGCTGTCCGGTGAGGAAAAGGGGGTGGGAAGAGGGGGGGCGCGGAATATGCAGTCATCGGGCTCGATGTACCTGTGACCATGGGCCAAACGAATTCCGCACTTTACTAGAGCGAGACGGGGGAGCGCACCGTGGGAAACACGCGAGACATAGCCCTGATGCCTGGAATGGTGTAAACAAACGCGCATCTTACTTCGTCGTGACGTCCTTTGGAACTACTATTTCCCACAGAAAATTACCTTTTCTCTTGTCTTTTATCTCCTAACTAAAGCTTGAACGGCCGTCATCGAATCGGATATCCGTACGCGCTTATAGCTATGTAGAATCGAGTCGTCGAGGGAAGGGTCGAAGGGGAAGGGTCGAAGGCGAGTAGAGACGTCATCGGGGTTTGGTCACAAAGCTTGGTAAAAGACGGCAGCGTTTCCAATTCAAATTAGCATAAATCCTGTAGAAGTAGTTTACTGCACTCTCGGACCTCCTCTCACAACATAACTCAGGGCGGGAATGACACAAACGATCGTATTTGGGAAACGTGCAGCGGGTTGAAAGCTACAGCCCAGGCTTGAGTCAAGTCCATCTCGGTGGATCTCTGGTCCTCGCGGAGCCGCAGGCTGTCCCAGAATATCCCGAGTGTTCAAAGTATTTCGTCGGTTCGGCTCAATGAATCTTTAAGTTTCACACGTATCAGCTTGCTTGGTGGAAGATTCTGATTGCGAGGGATGTTCGTTAAGTCGCGTTTTATGAACCAATGTCTCAGACATCAATCAAAGGAGGAGGAATGGAGGCCAAGAAAAGCGCCCTACCATTGGGAGTGGGCTGCCTTGGCTGCCTACGTGGCCGGCGGCTATTTTGGCACAGCCTGGTGGTGTACCTCCGTGAGCCCTCTGAACACAGTCGTGCGCTCTAGGGAAGCACACACATTGACCAAGGCTCAAGCAAGCCAGGAAATCAGAGACAAACCAGGTCATGTCAAGCTCCTTCTTGAAGGCATTCATTTCGAAAAGATAACACAAAAAGAATTTTATTTTTCCGTTGTTTAGATCGTTGGCATAGTCCATGAGTTCAGAGCAGATGGAGATGATGAACGGCAGCATGCCGCCACACCTGGGCCGCAACATCTGGGCCACATCAAAACTCCTGGAGGATTTTTGCCTCCAGTAAAGGGTGTCAATTTTGGTTTGGCACCTGTAAGCCTCCCCGAATGAAGAGAAGAGCACTGAATCTCAGCGGGGCAGATGCATATTGATGCAGCCATCACGCTACCTGTGATCAATGTACGTACGCTGCGTTCATCTAATCTCCAAGGCTATTAGGGAATTCACGCAGGCTCTACTTTTCATTGAAAAACATTTACGTTATTCCATCTGTGCCGTTAATCCCTCAGTCGTTGCGTCTTTGACAGAAACAACAGTACACCCTCAGCACTCGGTCTGTTGGCCCCCTCCCCCTCTGCATCAGCATTTCGTACTCCTTTGTCGTAATCGTAACAGAAATGTGCGGAATGTGGCCATCAATTAATGTCTCATGTTGTGTTGGTATGATGAATCTTATTTGAGACTTTTTTAATTTACAAGAGCGATTGCGGACCATAAGGCTGCGAGGGGTACGGAGTAGGTTGCCTTAAACAAGGTGTGGCTGGTTGTGTCTCGTTTTCTGCAGCCGAGCCCTCCATCAGCTAATCAACAACAAAATTGATTTGTGATCATTCTTTACAATCTTTCCTTCTTCACTGTCCTTGGGGGCTCTCTGTAGCATTGCCATGAGCGCTGTCACGCGCACAAACACGTTGCAGCATGTTATTCATCCAATCCTCCCTAAAACCTACAACCCATTCTCGGTTGCTTTTAAGCGCCGGGACCTGCACAAAGACAGAAACCAACATGCCATCTTGCGGTGCCTCTTCAGCTTCGATTCTCAGCCTCCCGAAGTCCGACTCCTCCATCGCTTCCTCCTCACGTTCCTCTTTCTTGACCCTGCCTTGAGACTTGTTGGTCATACGAAGGTATAGCGTGCCGCAGCCAGCCCTCGAAACCGACAGTCTCTAAGCGAGAGTAATACTCTTTCCAGAAACTATCCATCGGTATGGTCCCGTCAACCCTGGCTTCTCCTGTCCATTCGCTACCGTCGTTCACAGTATCATAACAACATCGGCTCTGCACAACAAGACGTATTGCGCTGTCTCGATAAAGATCTAGTGAGCACCATGCTATGTTTACTCTATAAGACAATGTTGGACGATCGCTACCAAAGAGCTTCTCGATCTCGCTTCCAGTTTCCAATTCCGTATCCTTACCCACGACTCCCTCCCAACCTCCCTTCGCGCCTCGCTGCAAATGTCCTCGAATCTCCAAGCACGCGTCCAGATAGCTGTCTTCGAATCCTCAAGCACGCGTCTTAATCTTCCTATGCGCTGTTCTCGAAATCATACCGAAGCGAATGTGAACGTGTGCCCTTTCTCCTTCTTTGTCGTGGAAGGTTGCCAAGTCAAGACGGATACCTTATTGCTCGTCTTAACCAGCGCTACGACCAGGCGACCCTCCCCCCTACCGCTATACTCGCGATTATTATATCCGAATACTATACTATGTAGGGTGTTTCTCTTTATTTCTGAGTTAGGGGGCTAAGCCCTCAAAGCGATATCGTCTTGCCGAGATATGAACAGGGTCCTCCCCTTGTTCTAGATACTCGCAGATGAATAATCCCAGTCGGCTATCCGATTCAATGCCCCAGTATTCCCCAACTCTCTTGCCACTTCTTCCAGCCTGGTCTTAAGGCGTGGAGCTTCAGGCAGCTTGCTGTCCGACAGGTTGGATCTTGGCCGGACTGCTTGGTACTGCCGCAGCGTCTCGACGAGCTCCCCGGCTTCGTCGGGCAGTCGGACCTGGGCAAGAGCTTTGTGCCACAGGGCGAGCGCACCCAGCGTGGGATCATCCGCAACAAGCGAGTCCAGGTCGAGTATCGACAGCGCTATCAGCATCCGCCCGGCATACTTGTCGACTTTTGCCGTGTCGTCTGTCGTGTGCATGATGTGCTTGTACGAGCCCCGCGCGATCTCAATAGGCATCGACTCTCGAAGACTCCCACCGTAGAACCCCTTGATATTGGGCGGGAGGGGGAACTGTCTGCCAGGCTCGAGAGCCCTCAACCACTGGTCGACGATCTCCGGCGCCATGTCTCCACCGAAGTGATCATTGAGGATAATGTCCCGCAGCGTGTCAACATTCTCTAGATAGTTCTTTCTTGCTTGAGATGTAGCTGTAGTAGACCCCATGTTTAGATCTTTCAACTAAAATCTCCCAAGAATCGACGCCGTAGTTTGTAGAAGCCTCATCCAGAGTCCGTCACGTTCAGTCCTTAACAGCCAGGCAAGCGATGGGCTTAGTCATTCCCTCTGTTCGCCTTTTGCCTTTTACGGGGCTATCAACAAGGCACTTTGGGTGATTGGATGGATGCTGCTCGCCTGGTGACAGGCTCCTTGATGAAGTGTGGCGAGGCAGTGGCGCATTGACGAATTACGTACGCCTGTCTTGTGCTTTCCAAGGATCGATCCTTGCAGTGGATTTTGTTTATTCAGGTATGCTATTTTTAAATCCAATGAACAATTCACTCCGCACGTGCACAGAGGCGGGAGTCAAACCACATGCCTGCCAAGGGGGGGAGCAAGCCAATTGCGATGGGCAACACCAAGACAAAGAAGATCGCAGTTGTGTAGCTAACTATCCAGACAATCGCAAACTCAATATTCTCTATTTTCGGTGGGAGGAGAAAGCGCACCAGTCTTTCGTGAAACCCATGCCGAACCCCAGCGCACGTGAACAAGGCATCCAAGGTGTTTCAATGAACCAGCGCAGGAGGAAGCGACAAGTGTTTTCCGTGTAGGATTTTTTAATGCTTGAAGAAACAACATGATCTCCAGTCCATCTTCAAATTGAGGGTTCACCAAGATGGGAAAGGTATGCATGGAGCTCGACTGGGGTAGGCCTGGGGTGATCGCGGGATGGTGAGATGCCACTAATTAGCTCAATCAGGAGACTCGATGCCATCACACGTCACATCCTTCTATGGGGCGCTAGAATCTTGGATGGCGAGGCTTAAGATGGGAAGCTGAAGTCCCGAGTTGCTCGTGTGATCACCGGGGCTTGCCAAATTGAATTTGATCTCAGCCCCAACTTAGAGGCACAAGTCAATGAAGGATTTGGGCTGCTGCCTTCTTAGCTGGACTCTCAAAGAGGCGCGGTCACCTATCGGAACACTTAAGTGTCTCGCGAGCATCTGTAGTACCACGTTGCTAGCCAATGAGATATCATAAAAGTCTTCAGTTTTCATTCTTCTCAAACTGAAATAGATAAAATGTAGGTCTCATAAGCCCCACATGTTGGTCGGATAGAATGGTTGGTTATCCTGAATATCTTTTTGCATGTTGGCTGAGGCTATGTCGGCGGGATCTCCGTTCAGGAGCAACGAAGTCGGTGACACCCGAGAGTTGCAGAAACTTGGCCCCCAAACTGAGACAATGTCACAGATCGACAAGAATCATGGCTAGTAGCCCCTGAAAGACGATTGAGAGGCGTCGAGAGGTTTGTTGGGCATTTCTTCATCGCAATGAGTGTTCTACAGGGTAGCTGGAAGCAAAATCACAAGGTGGAGAGATCATCAGACTCGCCCCTGAATGAAGGCGGCTACGCGCTTAGAGCCGCATAAAGATGCGCGTCTCACAGGAGATGATCGATGACCTTCTTCTGTTTGCCCTGGCGACTGGAAATCTCAAAACAGGGCTCTTCCGAAGCGCTTTTGGGCCGCTCTGGTGGTTTGTGGGGAGTAGCCATTAATAGGGCGGAGCATCTCCTGCTGGGGGCTTAGCCAGCGTTTCATGCCGATCGTCATTGTCCAGGCGGCAAGCCGGGGCCTACAAGGGAGGCCAGTGTCTATTTTGAGCATCCGTTTCCTTGATTTTACCCAGACGATGGCATCTTGCAGACGACCGGACTATTGCACGTTGTGCATATTGTTCTGCGCGGTTTATCATGTTCACCGCACTCGATGCAGCATCTCGGGGTAAAAGGGCGCGGATTGTTGCAATCTGGCCTTCGGATAGCGAGGGAACACAAACAGAGGAGCTGAAGATCGCCAGTTGTTCTAGCTGGTGCTGGAAGGACCCGACCCCGTCCCACAGTAATGTAACCGCTCTGCACGTGTGTTGGTCCCAAGCCTTTGTCCGCCCTCCCGAACAGCCTAAACTAGCAAGCGTACATGATGGTGATTGTGAGTTCGCTGTAGTGTGTGATAAGACCTTCTTCTTTAGCGACCGTCTGAAGAGCAGACAGTCGCGCGAGAGAGGGGTTTCTCAACGCTCGGGCTTTACTGCCGTAAAGGGGGTCCTGGGCGGATCCGGTTTGGCGTCGTCATGCTCATGCGTTGGTTGACGGACTCGCCTTGCTGAGGGCTGACATAAACAGGGCACAAAGCAGCAGAAGATGAAGCCCCATCAGCAGGATCCTTGTCGTACGCTGCTCCCCATCTCCCAACCCTGGCGAGGACCGATGAGCCGAAGGGAACTATACCATCTAAGGCAAACTCGAGCAGCGGAACGTCTGTTGCGAATCTGGCACCTAAAACACTGCTGACCTTGAAGCATCCCACGATCTGCCCAGTTTGGTGGCAGGTTTGCCACTTGGTCTAAATGTGTGGTGGTTTCTTATGAGTAGTACCAAGCGCTTGTTTTGGGTCCCGACCAGCGGGTCTGGCCTGGTCTGGCCCTCCCTGGTCTTGTCTCGTCTCCTCTTTGGACTCGGTCCAGACATGCCAGAGTGGGCGGTTACAATTGTCTCCAGAGTCTACAGAGTGCGATCCCTGTGCCAACTCTATCTGGCAGGTCAGGGGACTCTGTCAAGCGTTAGCCGAAGAAACCGATCACAAATGCCACACCGCATAGCAACGTAGTCCCGAATGCCGTGAAGTCCCCGCGAATCATGCAACTATTATGTGTGCTAGGCCCCCAATGACAGTTCCACAGGCAAAGGAAGCGCTCCCGCAATGCACAATGACCTGAATCTGCGAGAGGGTGGAGAGGCCAGCTGCCATGGGCACGAATAACCGCTCCAGGGGTCCCCGAAGAGCTTCCAAGCTCGTTGCCAAGAGGGCCTTAGGTAGACGGAGGTCACACCTAGATTTCCCGTTGGTGGCGGAGCTTCGCATAGCGGATCTCAGCATGACGCCACCCAGGGAGTGATCTGTGCTTTGCCCGGCGACAGTTTATATTAATCATTCACACACCTGACCAGTTCCCGTTGCCTGATTCCGTGCTATTATCACTAGACGACTTTATCTCAAAGGGCTGTCGCGCTGTGCGCTTGTGTATGGATTGGGGCGGCTTACGACTACGACAGCGACATCAACGAACCCTTGAAGCAGCAATTACTTCGACGATAGCGCCATAACCATGAGTTACATGACTGGGAACCTGCAGTCACCCCGACAGTCAAAGTTCAAGGAGGACTTCTCTCCCGAGGAGCCTATCGTGGCAGATGAGGATGGGCTCTACCCTCTTAACGGTCTCATCGCCGGACCACCGTAAGTGACCTTTCTCTATTTTATTGGTTCCGCAAATGATTTTAGCATTTTATCTTCTTTGTCTTCTTCCCTGTACCTTGTACTGTGCAAGCAATATTTCCCCAAAAGATCCAGGTGATTGAGGACTCACACTGGACCCAGGTATCACTTATTAGACACGGATGGGCCGAGGCCGTCCACCGAGGATGCTGGATTCATCCGTCGGCATAGACATAACCTCAGTAATATTTCCACAATCTCAAATGCATCAACCGTCTCGGATGCCTCCTCCGGATCAGACATTTCTTCGCCCTCGAACATCACCTCAGAGTTCAGCCAGCGCATCATCAGCTGGTATGGTCCCACGCAGGCTCGGGCGAGAAGATGCGGCTCGCCTGCCTCGTCCATCTACAGCGCCGACGGTTCGGAGCCCTCTTCACCTGTAGCAGAGTCGTCTCCCTCATGGCCGTTGCCAAACAACACGGCGACCAGGCCGGACGACACGGATTTCTCCACGGACAGGCTGCTGTTGGTGAGAGACGCCGAGAGGCCTGTGAGCGTCTCGTCCTACGCATCGCGCTACAGGAAATTCGGATCGTCGACTACGAGCTTGGCCAGCCGGAACAGCGAGCTGAGCTTGCCTGGGTCACCGATGTATCTCGCGCCGCCTCGAAGCCCGCTCAGTCCCCATGGGTCTTCATTCTATCCCGAGCCGCCCAAGACCCCGCCATTCCCCCCTCGTCGGTCAAGTAGACGCCAGAGTGGCAGACCGCTCTCTCAGGCATCTCAGATGTCGCAGGCATCGCAAGTATCACAGGTGTCGCAGGCATCACAAGCACCACAGGCTCCCCAGGAGGTGCTGTCCGTGTTCGAGGAAGACTTTCCTCTACCACCGCCCCGGCGCCTGTTTGGACACCGGAAAAACGCCTCGCTTTCCTCGCTCTCTTCAATCAGGAGGCTGGTTCCTCTATATGAAGATAAAGTGCAGGACACATCCGCAACAACCAAGGCAAAAGTGGGAGCCTCTAAACAGGCACCCCCCAGACGGCCACCTCGCCCAGAAGAGGGGTTAGATTTTCCTTTTCATCGCATGAGCACCTCGTCACAAGTATCATAACACAGATGGCAGAGGAACACCATCTGTCACGCTGATTTACACGTCCCTCGTTCTCTTTCTTTTCTTTTTCTTTTGTTAGCGGCCTGAGAACATGGATGGATCAGCTTACTGCTTGGAAGCTGTCAACAGATGATATCTGGCCTTTGCGGTATCACTGCATGATGACAGACAATCCCTGTGCCCCATCGTTAGCCACTATTCCCGGTGTATGGCAATCAACTCCAGGCGATGTTGATGTCGCACCGGGGATGCGATGGGCGCAGACAAGCGTAGCCCTTGAAGAAGGGCTGCCACACATTTATGCACTTGAGATGGTGTAGTCATGAACATATTCACATACCTACCTGTATATAACCTACCTGTATATAGACGTCTTCAGACTCACAGAAAGTTGAGCGAGACAGGTTAAAAATCATAAGCGACTTGATTCTTCTTACATCATTTCTTTCCCTTGCTGCCGTGAATAATACGCCTCTCCCCGTCACTTATGATATTGAAGGTGAGCCATCCTCACTCATCAGCATTTGTTCCTAATGTTCTGTCCCAGTCTTGTTCTCCCTCCGCTAGGATCATCTCGTCCCCCATTTTGATCACTTGATATTGTA